AAGGGAGGGATGATTTGGGTAGCGTTCGTTTGGATTTTGGGCATTAGACAGCATAGACATAATCACAACAACTTTTGAAACAAATTCGTCCGGTCGGGGTAAACCATTTGAGATTGAAGTTATAACATCAGTTGCGCTTGAAGAAATCTAGATCGCCCTTGTTATGACCGACCTGATGTCGCAATCCCTTTTCAAAACGTATTGTCCCTCATATTCGCACTAATGAGTCTGAGGGTCTTCTGTTCCTCGGCTTCATACCCGGAGTTCCCGACCAGCATATCAGCGTCTTCCCCGTCTTGTTCTTGTGCCAGTCTAGTTTGTTCGACTCGTTTGTGTACGTGCCATCCTTAGAATCCTCGTCCGCCAACCCTAACGCGTTGATATCTTCTGACTCTAGCAGGAACTGCTCCGTTTCAGCATCTTGCGAGAGATTTGGCCACCTGGGCTCGAGGTGCTCCACAAGTGCAAGTTGCTGCCCGTAGAACTTCTGGACAGCATCATTGATCCGCTGCAAATCACCTCGAGCTACGCGGAAACCGCTGTCGAGATTACCAGTGAGCCCGATGTGAATGGTGGTGATACATACGTGCAGCTCGCCCCTCGCTTGGGAAAGACGATTGACGATTGAGAATATCGTTGTCCTGGTTGTCTCTCTCATCCCCGCTGATCAGAGACTTTCCAAACTGCCGGATCTTGTGCCTCTTAGCGTCCTCCTACCTCTCATCTAGGGCGTCCTGGAGTCCCTTTTCGCTACGTACAATATTCTCCATTGGCTGCTTGGTCTTGTCCACCTGAAGTGTGGGCTCCCTCTTGATGGTGTCGCTTATGCCCCAACCCCTGCCGCACCGATTTGCTGTTGTGGAAAGATCGGTATTCCCCTCAGCAGCGCCTTAGAGGTGCCGAGTCTGCGCGGCTAATGGAACCTAGCTTCTAGGTGATGCCTATTTATTTCTGTATCTGGCAATGGGAAACAACCGGAAAGTATCCCTTGGACGCGGACAACCACCACTCTAAATGGCTCGACCGATTAATTGAGTTATAAGAAGTAAGTTGGTCATAAAATCTTGCTGCAGGAATTCTTTACTTATGCCATGGCCGATTTCTGTAGGTTTACTCGCATTTACAGCTGACATTGCTGATGAAATACAATGGAAAGTTAGCACAGAAGTCACAGTACATCTATTTGCCTTTATATAGGCTATAATGCTTTTCTATTGTGTTACGGGGAAAGAGAAATAGAAGAAGGATTCCGACAAAAGACGGCGACTAAACTTCAATGCTTATCTCCTGTTTCTTTATGCTAGGAAAATTCTTGATTCACGCTATCAGGTACAGATTACTTGGTCGATCTTTATTGTTGCAATCGAAACGACGGACTAGATCCACGAAGCTGGCTGCTGAACAGGTCAAGAGATTGTCGCGAGTTGATGTCGGAATGTCGGTGCTTATATGTTACGGCAGAGGAGATACTGAAATGAGTTGGACCAGGTTGGGTACCTTTTTTCTTTTACTTTACAATGTCGAAGGGGTTGTCATAAATGCTGGATCCCCGCTCGTCAACAAATTAAAGCCAACTTCATGTTGCCAAAGTCGTAATTTGTCATAGATATAATCTAGTCAGGTACAGGTGGAGCGACTAATTATATGCCGCATGCTGAGTTTGATACTGGATTACGAAGTCCCATTCCATGTACAATGCCAACTCTTGTTTGGGCACACTATTTTAGGCCATGTGATGGGTAGCGATAAGAACACATCACGACTGAACTGGGTTTCCATCCTACGGCTGCTAACAACATGGAGAGGTAGTGAATTACCATGTAGCGAGACTCGGTTGTTGGTGATTGATAACAAACAGTTATCAACATGGGATGACTATTCGGTGGCGCACCTTTGACATGAGGTGATGGTGATGCGCCAAGCATCAGGGGTAGGTTTGAGCCGCACTAAAAACGAAGCCGGGTGCAGCGGGAGTGGAAAAGAATCATGTTCCACCGAGCGATCGGCTCTGCCCTGGTCACGCTGAGACGAAACTACCTAGCAGTGTTTGTTCTGGTATGTGATGTCCTCCGTCATCACCCACTTGGCGCCCAAACCCTTCACGCTCTCCACTTTGGTGGAATCAGTGTTCCACCGGAGTCATTTCCTCGTTTAAGATGCCAGTAGAGTCATGTCCACGCTCAAGAGATGCCAGCATCACATCACAAGGGCACATATGACCCTGCAGGACCTATGCAGAGCCAGGTGCTGTCCCATCTCTTGTTGATTATATCTCTTGTTGATTACAGAAAATCACGAGTTTCCCATGCTCGAATTCCTCTTCTCCCTTCTTCTCCGAAAACGGCTGGCCAGCAACAGGGACCCGGGACTTCCGGGCTCAGAGGACCCGGAGTGTCTCCACCCGAGACGGCCCGATCAATGACACGAAGTAGAGATTTCTCTGCATATTCACCGCAATATTCCCGGACTCGGTCACCTGTCATTCAAATTTCGGTCTGCGCCTCGCCAAACGCTCTCCTCCACTGCATTTGGTGGTCCCGTTTCCACCTCACTTAGCACATGAGGTGGAAGTGCAGGCGGATTCGGTCCGGCCGAACGTCTGGAGATAACGCTTGGTGTGACAATTGACGCAATGACGACAACGTGATCTTTCATGCTACGTAGTTGATGTGTGCAAGTATATCAAAGCCCGCCATCCCCCTCCTGATATCGTATGTGGAGCCATTTGCTGAATATCAACATCTTGATTACTATTATTGCACACTTCCCAATCCATACAACAGCCATTATGGCACCTCCGAGCATCCACGAAGAGCGTGATGAGATAAAGGAGAGCTCGAAGCCTGTGGCCGAGCAAAGAGTAACGTTGCTAGCATGCGCCCTGGGCGCTGTGGCAAGTATTGGTGGTTTCATCTTTGGTTATGTCAGGTACTGCAAAATCATGCTTCTTACTAAGAAGCTAAGCTACTTACCATATGGAAGGGATGACTAGAACTGACATGCGTCTATAGCGGAGAGATCTCTGGCTTTTTCCTCATGAGAGACTTTGGTGAACGCTTTGGACAGATAAACGATGACGGCACAATTGTCTTCAGCGCCGCCCGCCAAGGCACCATTACGAGCCTCCTCTGTATAGGCGCCTTGATTGGCGCTCTCGTCGCCGGCAAAATGGCAGACTCCATTGGACGACGCCTAACGATTTCTGCATCTTCTTTCTTCACCTGCCTGGGCACAATCATCGAGATTTCATCACGGTCGAGTTGGGTTCAGCCGGCTATCGGTCGCCTCGTCACCGGCGTGAGCATCGGTGCATTGTCCGTCGTGGTACCCATGTATCAGTCTGAGAGCGTGCCGGCCAAGATTCGCGGTGTAATCGTATCTACTTACCAGCTGCTTATTACCCTCGGAATCTGGACCGCGGCCATGGTCAATTGGGGCACCGAGTCGTCTTCGTCGTCGGCCTCTTGGAGGATCCCGAACGGCCTCTCCTTTGCCTGGGCTCTTGTTCTTGGCGGCGGTATACTCTTCCTGCCTGAGAGCCCGCGTTACGCGTACTACCGCGGCCGGACTGTGGAGGCAAGAGAGACCATTTCCCGGCTTACAGGCATGCCGCCAGAGTCTGCCACGGTCGAGGAGCAGATAGCCGAGCTCGAGAAGCAAATCCACGAGGAGAAGAACAGCACTGCAGACTTCCGCTGGACTGAGATTTTCACCGCCCCGCGTATGTTCTATCGCACGACCCTCGGTGTCGTGATCATGGCCGGCCAGCAGCTTACAGGATGCAACTTTTTCTTCTACTTTGGAACCACACTGTTCAAATCCACCGGCATTGAGAACAGCTACACCACACAGATTATTCTTGGATCCGTCAATGTATTTTGCACCATTATTGGGCTGTGGATCGTCCAACGTTTCGGTCGCAGGATCATCCTCATGGTTGGAGCTGGCTGGATGATGGTCTGCTTCTTGTGAGCCTCCAAGTCCGTTCTTTTCTCAGAATTGGTTGCTAATTTCTCTTACAGTATCTACGCCTTTGTTGGCCACTTTGCTATCGACTCCGAGAACCCTATGAATACGCCCACTGCCGGCACTGTCCTCGTAGCCTTCTCCTGCTTGGCCATTGCTGCCTTTGCCGTCAGCTGGGGGCCGCTCGCCTGGGCTGTGAATGCCGAGCTCTTCCCTCTTCGATACCGCGGGGCCTGTATGGGTCTCGCCACTGCGTCCAACTGGTTTTGGAACTTGTATGTGCCCTTGATCCTATGATGTATATTGAAGAGACGCTAATGATGATGCAGTTTGATCTCTTTCTTGTAAGGATTGCTACAGCTTCGTGAAACAACGATGAGATTTCTCGAATATTCTTGCTAACATGGCTCCCTTCTAGTACTCGATTCATCACCGACGATATTGGCTACCTTTACGGCCTTGTTTTTGCTGGATGCTGCGCCGCCCTCATGGGCATCGTCTTCTTCTTCGTCATCGAATCCAAGGATCGAACACTGGAAGAGATCGACTTGATGTACATCAACAATGTGAACCCCATCAAGTCGGCTAGTTGGACCAAGGCGGACATCAAAGCAAACCTCAGGGAAGGCCACGAAGAAGAAAGCTCAGCATGAGCTACGATCGATTTTGAGATAATGACCTCTTACAATAACTGTATCATGAAACATTGTAGCATATTATAGCATCGGAGTTTGTATATTGGAAGGGTGGATAAACGTGGTGGATGGTGGGTTTGGGTTCCATCTCACTCCTCAGCTATCAGTGATTTATTTATATATTTTCCTTTGCCTCGTAGCTGTTTAGATCAAGGCCTCAGCAATACAGATAGATTATATAGCAGACGATTTCTATAATTTAGGGTCGGTGTCTGCATGTACTTATGCACCACCGTCATGTAGATGAAGATGGCAATTCCATATGAGTGGCATTCTCTCAAGATGAGAGTTAGGTTATCTCGTTTGACAAGTGTACACCCAAAGTCCGGTGCACTGCTACTAATTAGACTTAGCCGGCTTGATAACTATAAGGTGTTAAGAAAACATATAACTGTTACATATATAGTATGCTAGCCTGCTTACCTCTCTATTCTACTGATTTACCATAGACGTCGTATCAAGCGGCCGATACTCTATAATTTCCCACGCGTAGCAAGTAAATCTTGACTCGTAGCAAAGGCAGCGCGACACCCCTGCTCGATAGCACCATCTATGTATCCCACCCAGCCATCTGCCCAGTCCGAACCAGCAAGAGTAAGCGTACTAGTAACCCTCTTATTCTCCATAAGATGGCCAAGACCTCCCGAGAGAGCCCCGGCAGGATAGACTGGCCAAGCTCCCTTGGCGAATGGGTCATTTCGCCAGTCATGCCAGAGATATTCGTTTATATTACCCAGGTCAACCGACTCAGGCTTCAAGTCGTGGAGAACCTCATCTAGGATCTCGGATGGCGACCGACCAGCCAGTTCAGGGCGACTGCTTTTGAAGAAAACCATGTTGACGCCTCCAGTTTTGGAAGTAGACTCGGTGAAGCCAAAACAAGCCGCTTTGCAAGCGCCAGTGACGCCGAAGAACTTCGACGAGCCATTCGGAGAGTGCGCGTGAAGCTTACCGCCAAGGTTGTGATGGGCGATGGAGGTAAATGCCGGAGGCAAGGGAGGCGAGAATTCGACATCGGCGAGGCAATGGATGGGAATGGTGCAGATGGCTTGGCTCGCGGTGAACTTCTGCCCGCCCTTGACCTCGATCGCTACTCCGGTCGCGTCGGAGCTGATGGACGTGATTTCCCGGTTGAACAAAGACGTGCCATCGAACTCGGCAAAAATCATATCCGCCAGTGCTGTGGTGCCGCCCGGAATTTTGAAGGAACCATTGATCTCAAGATACTGCTGGAAGTTGTACCCAGAAAGAGCATAGAGCCTCAGAAGGCTGAGAAAGCCGATCTTGGATACGTCGGTCAGGGCTGAGATTGCCATCCACATTCGTAAAAGCTTCTTCTCGTCACTCGACACATCCATTTGATTGATGCGGTCTTCGACACTGATATCCCACTTCTTGATAGCTTCACGGTTGAGAAATGGCTGGGTTGGCTGGGGCATGACAATTCTTCCGCCCAGGCCGTCGACGTCGAAGAAGGCGGCTGCGAGATGGAGAAAGGCATCATCCGCAGCGACGTTGTCCTGAACGACACCGTCGATCAGGAACGGGCTATCCGGATCTATACTAGAGCTTCTTTTCGTTGCGGTCAAACCGTATCGGCTCATCTCGGCCCAGACATGAGGTTGAAGGTGGTGGACCCAGCCGCCGCCCATCTCATAATCATCGTTCTGCCCCTTGGCAGACCATGTGCGGCCACCAATGCGATCACGAGCCTCTAGAAGGAGAACACGGAGGCCTCGAAGCGATAGATCTCGAGCGGCCACCAAGCCTGCGAAGCCAGCACCGACGATGATGACGTCGTAGGATTGGGCTGCGCTCTTAGTATCAGGTTTGACGGCAGCAGAGGGCAGGCCTGTCGTGATGGTGTTGTACTGGAAGTCCCAAGAGCAGCCTTCTTTAGATCGAGCGAACATATTGAGCCTTCGGCTTTACGTTGAAATACTAGACTAGAGTGGAATAATTGATCTGTCACTATATCCTAGTGAGTAAAAATTAAAATTCGGGTTGTAGAGTTGATTGCTTCCCTACCTGTAGAAGATGGGGATGTTTATACTTCTTCTTAGATGAGGTTAAACTCGGACTCTCCGGACTCCGGTACCCTTGTCATCCTTATTCTACGGAGACAGGGCCGGAAAGTTCTGTCCCACCATAAGAACTACACCGCTGAGTTATCAGGAACAGTACATCCAAGTATATCAAGCTTTTACACATACCACTCCCCGCCCCTAATTCCCTCCTATTCTACCACGAAAGCCACTATACTTTGGTATTAATCGCCAAGTCTGGAAGTACTATGAAGTATCTAACAAAGTCTAGTTATATAATATATCTTACTTCTGGATAAAACTTTCTAGCTCTGCCTCCGTATTTCACGGCAGATGTCACCCAGCAACTCCCCGCTAGATTTTGCCTGATTAGGGTATGTTTTCCGTAGATGAGGCCTGCCTTGCCATTTTCAAGCTTCTCAGTGTCTGCTTGTATGGTCACTCGGGGTGGACCATTGGCTGATTCTAATGACGCAACATGGGTTTCCGGGAACCCGCGGGCTGCGAGTTGACGAGGACCTGTGTGTCAACACCATTTTGGGAAATATTTAAACAATCAAGGGCGCTCAGAGAGTACATGTACGTATCACTAAACCTCTCTTCCAAATTGGAATCTATCACCCATCATGTCCGGCAAGCAAGATCCCGAAACAAGGCTTTTCATCAATAACGAGGTAGTACTAGACCGGAACTCTTCTGCCAACGTGGGCATACATGCATGTCTAACATTAGAGTATAGTTTGTGAACTCGAAATCAACAGACCGCCTTCGGGTTGTCAACCCGAGGACTCTTGACATCGTTACATCCGATGTTCAGGTCGCATCTGCCGAAGACGTTGATCTCGCTGTAGCAGCAGCGAGGCATGCTTTCAAAGCAAGCCCTTGGTCCACGTTGGCTGGGAGTGGCCGGAGTAAGCTGCTCTGGAAGCTGGCAGAGCTGATTGAGGCGCACAGCGAAGAACTGGCAAATCTCGAGTCTTCCGCCATGGGTAATTCACCGGCAGTGACTCGATCTATGGAGATCAACAACGCGGCCAGCGTATTCAGATGCGAGTTACCCTTCAGATGGTCAGTGAGCATAATTGCTGATATGACGTTGCAGATTATGCAGGCTGGGCAGACAAGCTTGCCGGCGAAAGCTTTCCATTAGAAGATGGGTTCATGCAAATTGTCAAGCATGAACCTATTGGTGTCTGTGCAGCCATTTGCGCCTGGAACGCATCGCTCATGTTCTTTGCCTGGAAAGCCGCCCCCGCTTTAGCAACCGGCAACACAATCATCTTCAAGTCGTCGGAGAAGTCCCCTCTGGGGTTTCTGGCTCTCGGCAAACTGATCGTTGCTGCTGGATTCCCGCCTGGAGTCGTGCAATTTTTGAGCGGCGCTGGCGAGACGGGGAAGACGTTAGCCTGGCATCCGGATATTGACAAGATAACCTTCACGGGATCCGGTAACGTTGGAAGAAAGATAATGGAGGCTTCCTCCAAGAGCAATTTAAAGAGAGTCACGCTTGAGCTTGGGGGGAAGTCCCCGGCAATCGTCTTCCCGGATGCTGACTTTGACAACGCTCTTCGATGGTATGTCACAATCTCTTGAGTGGCCTTCCAGGCTAACATGGTGCGGGTGTTCCATGGCAATCATGATAAATGCCGGCCAAGTGTGTGCCACTACCAGTCGGCTATACCTCCACAAAGACATTGCTCCTCGGTTCATTGAAGCTTTGAAGAACATATATCTCACCGCAGCTGAGAGCATGGGGCCTGACGACGGACCTATGGGGATACCCCCCGTAGCTGACGAGCATCAATGCCGGAGCATTCTAGATTTTATCGAGTCTGGCAAGAAGGATGCTGATTTGATCGTTGGCGGGACCCAGAAGGACTTGAAGGGTTATTGGATCACGCCTACTGTTTTTCTAGAACCATCCGATGATGCATCTGTATACAGGGAAGAGATCTTCGGACCTGTGCTTTGTGTGAAGGTGTTCGAAGACGAGGACCAAGTCGTCGAGTGGGCTAACGATACAGAATATGGACTGGCAGGTGAGTCGCCCATCATTAGACATTTAATAATTATTTACGCTCACATGGTCACAGCGGCTGTCTACACCCAGGACATCGACCGCGCCCTGCGGGTTGCAGACCGGGTCAAAGCTGGCAGCGTCGCCATCAATAGTGGCCCTTTGCCCAACCCCAAGGTGCCCTTTGGAGGCATTAAGCAAAGCGGCTTTGGCAGAGAGTTGGGGAAATACGCGCTGAGCGAATATACCGAGACCAAATCCATTTCGATTAAGTTGGTTAGATAGACGAGCTGCCTTGAATGTTGATGCAATATCTAGGATGATAATCACCCTCTTAGTTTAAGCCTCTAAATAAATAAGCAAAGCGCATTGAACTTCACTTAACTGTCTCATTGTGTATAAGCACATGACACTGGTTAAATCTTATGGTGGTAGTTGGACATCTACAGAATGATCAGGCATAACCCACCGCTAGCGTGTGTTGGTGTCTCACATCTTTGTCCACCGCCGTTGGGAGAAGCTAATGAATGCTAGAGACAAGGTTATTGAAGCTTAGTTGAAGCTTAGATGATCTTGCCCCAAAGCGGCTGTCCAGGTGTTCAGGGTCTATCAGCTCCTCAGCTGCCACGAGGTCTGGCCATTATTGGCTGGCGGCCGGCCTCGTGCTACAGGGGCTTGATAGGCTTAGGGACCGTTCAGGGCGTCAGGGACAAACGGAGACGCTATTTGATACGGGATCGCGTTTGAGGGGCGGCTGAAACCACGAGATTGGAACCGTTTCGCCTGTCCCCAATCCACCGCCCTCCCACCCGAGACAGCGCTTCTGCTCTCTCCGTCTCCCTCACACCCGCCCAACGCCTCGTTGAATCGCGACAGCCCGAACCACTCTCTTGGAACTGGACCGCTACCAGCACTCGCGACAACCCGAACCCCTGAGCTCAGCCTCCCTCCAAAAGCTTCGTCATGCCCGCCACCACAAGCAAGACCGCGCCGCAGAAGCAGGCCCCAATGGAGATGGGCGCCCGAGACGGGATTGTCGTCGCCCAGCCCGTGAGTTGCTCTTTGCTTAACTTCTACCAAAGCTACACCTCCTAACGCCCCAGAAAGACCGCCGAGCCTCTCCCCAGCGCCGACCCGCAACTGTCCCTTCGTGGAGGCGAACTGAACTGCGGCTTCTCCTGTTGCGGCGGATCCTGCCGTTTCCACAAGAGCTGCTGCTAGGCGCGGATGAGCGACCTCCCCTGCTTTGATTGGCACGAGACGAGACGAAACACCATACGAGACGAACGACCGAACTACTATTTTCTTTCTACCGAACAATTTTTTTCCGGGCGCATTTCCTGCCTACCAGTCCTACGAGCGAGCGAGCGAGTAATACGCGGAGGATTGCAGGAGTAGACAGTCCGACTTACGGATCTGATGGCAGTCTTTTGGAGAAGACGGCATGGCATGTTGGTTCTGAGAGGTGGCCTCGTTGCTTTGGACAAGATATATACCATACGAATACATAAATCAACGACCCTTGGGCTTCCCACCCTCGTGCGCGGTGACGATTCCAATCTTCTCGAAGCATCAGGCATACTCTCTCTGTGGGCTATAAATTATCGGCTGCTGTTGGTAGAATCTAGCCTCTGGTTTAGTAGACACAGGAGTGTGCATCTCCTGACCGCTCCCCAGAAGTATCGGCTGCTGTCCGTAGAACCTGCCCTCCGATATGGTAGAGTGCGATACGGTAGACCCCGGGGTGTGCATCTCCTGGCCACTCCCCAAGAGCCCGGCGTTCTCGCCAGGAGGAGGCGAGGGCTGGTTTTCTTCATTGGCCCTATCCGATCCTGGCGGATTGAAGAAGCAGCCGAACAGCCTGGAAGGAGCGCGATGATTAGATCATGTCAGGGCATGTAATGAGCGATGGACGGTGGGGGTTTGGGACGTACAGAAAGGAGCCGAGCAGGACGCCTCCCAGGATTGCTGATCCTACGGCGGCCTTGGTTCTCTCATGGGCTGCCAAGTCTATGGAGCAAGCCTGTTAGCATCTTATTTCCTGGTAGAGGCATTATAGGAGTGTAGGTACCGCTTTCGAGACCCAGCCCGGGCGTGTTGTCATTGCCAGTGGACGTTGGCTGAGGAGCTCCCGTCCCACCCGAACTGCGGGCTGAACTGCTGGCCGAACTGGGATGGAATATGCTTGAATCGGTCGGGGGCGACCATGTGCCAGTAGATGTGTCCATCGAGACAGAGATGGTAGTCCTGGACTCGGCGCAGCTATAGTAGACATACGACTGCGTAGACCAGGTGTAAGTGATGCACGCGCTCTTGGAGCCGGTGCTGTGTCGAGGCACCAACCAGATGGTCAGTATTCGCTTTGCTGGATCCTAGTATTAAGGAAGACGTACCATATCCTGGCGAGCTCGTCGCCAGTTGACGTGTTTTCCAGGCATGTCGTGTAGATCTGACAGCCATCGCTGCCGCAGCATCCGACGTGCCCGTTCCCGCTCCATGACATTCGAACGAAGCCACAAGTGTCTTGACATGTCAAAGGTCGCGAGACGTTGCCTGATGCCAGAGCGTTAGTGGCTTATTTCCTGGATCGCATTTTCGAAGACCTAGAGTGTCTGTATCTTGCCTTGAATGTATCCACAGGTATTAGCTCCGGCGCGCCTTTCAAGCGACGGTGCGTCTGTGGTTGCGAGGCTCGGCGGGGTGGTGAGGGTGCCATCGACGGGGACCGCCGTGGAGGCAGACAGTTCAGATTGCGCCGTGGCCAGTTGCCAGAGGCATAAGATGAAGGCAACAAATATAATTTTCATGTTTCCCATCGTTCCGGTTGTAGGGAGCGTTGTCCTGAGATGATTGGCATCAATCTAGCATAGCAGAAGGGCAGTCTCTCATATCTACCCACCTCGCTTGAGCAATCCTGTTCCTCCGCCCCTCGTCCGATAACCCTGAGACAGTCCTCGATATAGTTGGTGTGGAGGAAGCGGCTGCAGGATGATCTGGGCTTGTTGGAGTTTAGGCGAGGCGCCATCTGGGCCGTTGGATGGCCGCCACTTCAATAGACACATGCAGCTCAGCCGCAATGTGCCACCTCCTTGCTCGAGGCTTTGCGCCAAGGCGTCTTTATTTGCTTGGCTCATAACCTTTTCCTTTTGACGGTTGATTTATGGTTCGCATTGCCCATTTAAGATATCTAATAGTTTTCTACCTCCCTCCCTCCATCATGGCCGCCTTCACATCACATCTTCGGATGAGCACGTACGGCAATGGCGGACTGCTACAAGCTCACCGCCGTCTCCGACTTCACCAAGTATGTCGAGGCCCTGTCGGATGAGACGGGATATGAGGCCAGCAGACTCCAGGAGTGCAAGCCTGTGATCTGCCAGGCCATCTACGGCATCGGCAACCCGGACATCTCGGGCATCGGCGTAACCAAGCCTCCTCCTCTTCACCATTATCAAGACGAGACGTCGCTAACAAGTAAATATACAGGTCGCCATCGGCTACATCATTGAGATCGCCCTCGGCTTCACCCTCGCCATCCTTCTCCTCCTCCAAACCCGCCTCGACCCCTCGCTCAGGTCCATCCCCTCGCAGGTCCTCCTCACCGGCCTCCGCAGCTTCTTCAACGCCGCCGCCTTCTTCTCCATCGCCGTCCAGATCGCCACCATCTCCCTCCTCGTCCAGAAGGACTTCGGCATCGCCACCTCCGACTTCGGCGCCATCGAGGCCCAGATCGCCCAGGCCGTCTCCGTCGTCTCCATGCTGCCCCTGCTGTACCCGGCCCTCCTCCTCAGTGGCATAGACTCCTCCTCCTCTTCCGCCTCCTCCTCCTCGCCCCGGTCCAACCCCCGCCTCTTCTTGCTCAACCTCGCCGCCGCGCTGTCCTTCTACCCCTTCCTCTCCCGCAACCTGCACGCCTTCGGGCCGGGCGACTCCCGCCCCATCGGGGACGGGTCGGGCAGCGACGTGTCGACGGCGGACTGGGCCAAGGTCGAGAGGCTGTGCTTCGCCGACGGGCTCGACGGCCTGCGCCACGACGCGCTCTACGCCGCCATCCCGCCGCTCGAGCTCGCCGCCTCCCTCGTCGTGTACCTCGCGACCCTCTGGCAGATGTGCGGGCTCGTCGGCGCGCACTACTCCCCCGCCAAGGACCAGCAGAAGCGGCACGCCGTGGTTGTCGGCGCCGGCCGCGTCGTCCTCTGGCGGGGGAGGGTGGGCGAGTGGTTCCGCAGCCACCGGCTCTGGGCCGCCCTGCTCATGCTCGTCCCGCTGGGGCTCGCGGTGCCTCTGCTCTGGGTCATCTTCCACCTGCGGGGCTTGCAGGAGGAGCTGGCGAGGAACATGGAGGAGGACTACGGGGGCAATAATTGGGGGTTTGGGCAGATTGTGGCCGTGGTCTTGTACCTCCCTGTTGCGGTTGACATGCTCTATCGTGGGAGGTTTGGATACCAGGTTTGATGGGAGGTAGTAACCTGCTTGTGAATTTTCTGAATTTTCAGCGTCATGGGAGGGTAAATGTTTGCGATGAGGATTAATTATTAATTAGACTATGTTGTTTTGCTTGTTTGTTACATGAGTGTAATCATCGCTAACCGGCTTATGCACCCCTTTTCTTTTCAAAATACAGTCCTATCACCATGATGCAACTTTTATTCTGCCTTACAGAGCAACGAGGGCAAAAACACCAGCAGCGACTGCGGCGAAGATGCTGCCAGAGGTCTTGGAACCGGCACTACCAGCACCCTGGGAAGACGAAGCGGAGGCAGAGGCGGAGGCAGAGGTCTGGCTGCCGGTCTCGACAGATCGAGAGGCAGAGCTGGCGGGAGTAGCCGCAGAGGTCTCGGAGGCAGTTCTCGAGGCGCTGCCGCCGCTGGTGGTGCGGGCGCTGCCGGAGGCGGTCGTGGAGCAGACGGGGATGTCGGTCTCGGTGAGGCTGCCGCCGAGGAGGCTGACGAGGTCGCTGCACTCCTCGAGGACGGAGGAGACGTCGCTCGAGTGCGACTGGTACCAGCTCTGGACGTCGGAGGCGTACTCGACCAGGTCCGAGGACAGGCTGGCGGCGAGGGTCACCTGGCAGGGGCTGGCGAGGGCGCTCTGGAGCTCGCCGTCGAGGGCGGCGGTCATGAGGGACGGGGGAGGGGTCGGGAGCGCGGTGACGAGGTCGAGGACGGCGGAGCTGCAGCTGGGGGCGACGGAGACACTGTCGTCGTCGGCCTGGCGGACTTCGAGGTCGCGCTTGAGCTTGGGCAGAGCCAGGGGGTGGGTGGCCGAGACGGCGGCCACGGCGGCGGCGAGGACGAAGAGACGGGACTGCATCTTGGAGAGCCTTGTGATGACGATATTTGACAGAGAGAGAGTGGATGGACGAGATCAGTCTTGGTGTGACGGGTTACACATGGAGTGGAATCGCCTTGCTTTTATATGAAATGATATCAGAAGATTGCCACTGTGCACATCGAGATCCCTGGGACTCGCTCGCTACCCGAATCCCGGTCATGAATCCACCTGCTGGCATCGCATTGGGCTGCCTGATAGAGTCTGGTCTGGCGTCTGACGGCCAAGGAACAGGAACAGGTGAAAACCGCAAGGGCCCGTCATATGAGCCCACCTCTAACCGGCCTCAGCTAGTCCACCGGCAGCAGCTAACCGTGGTACCTTGCAGATTCACGCATTTCGGTGCATCTCAGAGGATGAAATCGCAATGGATCGTGATTCTGCGAGTGCTATACATGCGGTCTATCCTCTGTTCTCGATAAAAGGTAACCCCATGCTACTGATGTCGCTGGATTATGCTCTCGACTATTGAATACAACCCGGCCTGTGGCTGCCAGCCTCAACGCCACCGATGGGCAAACGAGTCAGTTTCACCTGTCGTGATATCCACCGGTGGCCTTGGCTTAGATCTGTTATGTACAACTTGCGGGGCCTAATTAGCCGGCCAAATATGTCACCCCAGTCATTTTCTTCCCCTTCTCATTTTGCTCTTCGGCCTTGCCAGGCTTCTAGACGGGTCTTTTGCACGGAATATGCAAAAAGGGGGGACTTGTGCTGACGGCAACCATCCCCAGCAAATTCGACGGCATCTTCCGGCCGCGAATGGAGCCACCTTGACCCCAAGAAGCAATAGATACAAAGTCATTCTGTGACTCAATACTATGTATCTCCCATAACTGCGTTCACGCTCATACAAGTTGGTGTTGTAGCTGGATAACCGCGACCCCAGCACTTGTTGCCGCAGTCCCGACAGTATTGATCCAATTAGTCACCACCACTTACTCGGTGGCGTGGAGATAATAATTATTAAATTTGCCAATCTACGCTGTCCTTCCAGGAGCAATTTCCAAGTTGGGGAGGGATGATTTCTCTGGTATTCAACCGGGTCACTATAATTCTCTTGTATATTTAGATTGAGCTTTGTGGACATGGACAAGCCTTTGTTTTGTATGATGTCTCTTCTTCTGACTTGGGATGGAGCTGTAACCTGGAATCAAATAACTGGCAAGTATCTGACGAAGAGAGAGGCTGCGTATTCCAGGTGCACGTAAGGACCTGGCGACATTGAGGCTGTCAAGAAATACCTTTTCCAACTAACAAAAGTGAATACGTCTTACAAAAGCACGATATGGCCATTTCAAACATGAAAGAGCGGGAATGCAGTTCCCAGTCAAGCCAAGGAAAGGACTATCCGTTAGGCTTACTTCTGCGATGACACTTCCCGGTACCAGTTCTCCTTGGGATCCCCGAGACATTCACCCACCGTCAACGTCCTGAACCCTTTCCTCTTGATCGTCTCCAGCATATGTCTAACCAGAGTGTACACGCCATGGTACACGGTATCATGCTCAATCACCAGCAGACTGCTCGTCGCCGGATACAGAGGCTCAACCCGCCCGTCCCAGATCCCAATCGACTTCCTGATCAAGTCCGGCCCATCATTCAGATAACCCGCCGTGTTGAGATCGAAGTACGTGACGTGGTACCCCAGATCCGCCAGCCACCCATCCGTCGTCGCGTCGCTCATCGAGTGCGGCGGCCGCATGTACGTCGGGAAGTAGCCCAGCAGGTCCGCCAGCGCGACCTCGTTGAAGAGGATCTGGTCCCGGAACTGCGCGGGCGTGATCTGCGTCAGCTTGTGGTGCGCCCAGGTGTGGCTCGCGATCTGGTGGCCCTCGTCGGCCATGCGGCGGATCAGGGCCGGCCAGGGCGTCGAGGGGTCGTTGATTGCGCCCTTGCCTGCGTTGCGGCCGACGACGAAGAATGTGGCCTTGGCATCGTATTCCTGCGCAAGCCTCGCTCAGTCTTTTGTTCTGCTATGTTTTCAGTGAATCAATTAAAGAGAGAGGGGGGTTACAGCAAGTAGATCCAGCAAATCCTCCGTGTAGTTCCACGGGCCGTCGTCAAAAGTCAAGGCGATACCTCCCTTTTCTGTACAGTAGTATATGGCCTTGCCGTACGGGACAGAGCCAACCTTGGGACGAGGAACGGAAGAGGTGTCAGGCCCTTCTGGGCGGATATTGGCGTCACACGATGGGCCGTAGTCGATCTGGCAAGTGGGAGACCTGCAGAACTGAGAGCCTGTACCGCACCATCTGAGACGATTCTCGTCAGACTTGATTCTCACAAAGCCTCTGAAGATTAATGAGCAAAGGATGTCCACGTCTTACCCTCCACTAGAGCAGCACTGGGCCTGGGGACAGGACCGTGCAACCTCAGGACCGCATCTCCGGTCTTGCCTAGCTTGCAGCGCAGGTAGGGCGGGGGATTGGGCTAGATCCGCAGCTGGAAGGGTGACCTGTAGTGTCTGAGCAATCAGAGTCAAGAAGGTCACACAAAGAAGCCCCTTCATTTTCGCTTGAGATGAGGTAATGGTGGTGGATGAGAACGAGACAGTACATATGTAAAAGGTACAGCTGAGGGTGTGGCGCCTCTTATAGATTTGTGTTCTTGTCTGACATAGTTCGTATTGATATTCACTTGCATTGATATTCTCGGGTCTTTCCTAATTAAAGATAAATAAGGCCCGATATTACTGTTGTTCTTCCTAGTACAACCTCAATGGGCCGACGTGCTGCTGTACATCAACTGTCTACCCTACATCCCGACATGCAATGCCGGAACAACTCACGACTCAGGCCACCAGATACAGCAGCAAAAAAAAGATAAATGCTATCATTTTGTTGTACCATTTCTCCCGAATGCGAGATTTATGGACATGAATGCCCCGATCCCCAAGGAAGACAACGCGAATGTGCGAAAGGTGATATCCAGTGCAACCGTACGTGGACGGAGCATGCGAGATGTCACGTTCCCGCAAAGAGTCTCTATTTCTACTATTAAATTCCATTGCCCTCTCTAAAGCTTACATCATAGCTGTTTCTCGGCATAAATAATGCCTGGTTTCGTGCAGATCTTTCGTATGCTGGGAATAAGGTTGCACGATGCATCAATAATCGGAAGGTTGTCTCAACTCGGATATTGAGAGGGGGAGAGAATCAATGCTCCGTCTTTCATGCTGAATGTCTTCTTTCCCTTATTATCCAATTGAAATCTCCCCGGGAGCTGCGCCACGCAGAACCAATGCAGATCTCACTCTTTCCATACGGGGTGGTTGGGGCATGTAGGTAGATACGAAAGACCCAATGCTATTAATCAATCTGCGATGCGGGAAGTAATACTGCGCCGCTTCCCGGCAGTGGTCGAGACTTTTGACAGTGATCTGCAGGTAATTCAAATACGCCAAGCTCGATCACAAACCAATATGCCGAACATCATCCCGGCATATGCTGACCTTATGCCAAGCATATCGCCAATTGCGTTCACAGGGCCAACAAAAAATTAACACACGTTCGTCAGAGAGCAGCGAGAATGAAAAGTAAACGAGGTTATATGATTCCAAGCTATGCTATGCTATATATGATATAAGCTGCACGAGATATCCGGCTGATGCAATCCGAGGTCAAACGAGGCTAACCGCCCTACCAGAGAGGTAAAAAAATCCAGAGTCTCAGACTCCATGAGAAATATTATATACGATACGAGTAGCTGGCTACCGTGTAGGGTATAGAGACTAGAATTTTCATTTATTATATACTTTTTTCCATTTAGGCCTTGGTCTGGCCGACGGGAACATCGGCCTCGGTCTCGGTCTCGGAGTCATCCTTGGCGAGAGTCTGGGCGTCAGTGAGGACGGGATTCCTCAGGGCGAAGGCGAAGGCGATGAGCAGCGTGCAAAGGGCGATACCGCAGATGCAGAGCAGACGCTGGGTCTGGCCGAAGGCGTGGACCATGCCCTGGCGCTCAGGGGTGTCCATGGCGTACAGGGGGGCGATGCCGGCGGGGTAGCCGTAGACCTCGACTGCGAGAGTCTGGTTGGTGAGCTGCTCGGAGAGGTAGCCGGGGAGGACCTGGGTGTAGATGGCGCCGGAGACGGCGTTGCCCAGGGCGGAGCCGATCTGGTAGGTGGCCAGATAAATACCGGTCATGACGGCCAGGTTCTCGTGCTTGAGCTGGACCTGGAGCGAGGCCTGGGCGGGGTAGGGGAACATGCCACCGGCGATTCCAAGGATGACCTCGGCGGCGATGACACCGACCTTGGCGTTGCTGCCCTCGGTGTGGCTACGGAAGTGGATGAGGAGACCGAAGGCGACCATGAAGAGGGCGGTACCGGTGAGGATGACGTATTTGAGGCGGCGGATCTTGAACACAACGAGACCCAAGATGGGACCGACGATGACACTACAGAAGGAGTAGAGACTGCTGACGCGGGTGGCCATGTTGATGTCGAAGTCGAAGGCAACAATGAGCATGTTGTAAAGGTAGTCTCCCTGCATGTACCAGACGAAGTTGAGCATGAGAGCTATTCCGAGGGCGGCCCAGACACCGCGGTCCTTCATGAGGCGGAAGGGGACGAGGGGATGGGGCGCCCTGAGCTCCCACATGACGAAAATGGGGACGCAGCAGAAACCAATGACCAGGGGAGCGATGACGCTGGCCGACTTCCAGCCATTGGTGGCAGCGAGGATAAAGGGGACGAGGATAAGGTCGAAGACGGCAATGACGAGAATGATGCCGGGGACGTCGAGCAGCCAGAATAGCTGGACGAGGAAATTGCCCATGCCTAGGCGCTGGAAGGCGGACTTGAAGTCAGGGAGGAGACCCTGCTTCTTGGCGCGGCGGGAGACGAGTAGGAGGGTGACGATGAGAGGAAGGCAGCACACGGGATAGATGATGCACCACATGGCATATCCCCAGTGGACGGTGGTGCCGGCCAGGACTGAGGTGGCAATGTACCCACTGGCCCAGGTGTTGATGATGAAGGGCAAGGCGGGGATGTAGGAGAAGAAGAGACGGGCACGGGTCGAGGTGATATCGGCGACCAGGATCTCGACCAGGAGGGTGATCATGGTGTATCCGATCTGGTAGGTGGCCGTGCCGGCCGCGAAGGTGGCCACGTTGGCCGAGGTGGCGAGGACGATGGTGCCGATAATGTAGAAGACGATGCTGGCCAGGATGAGCTCAACACGGCCGAAGACATCAGCAACCTTTCCGGCAGTAGGCTGAGTGGCAGCGCCGATGACGGCACGGATGACGTTGACGGCCGAGATCAGAGACTGGTTGCCGAATTCACCGGTGGCGTAGTTCTGGTAGGTGTAGCGGAGGGTGCCATCGAGACCATAGCAGTAGGCGATGAGGAAGATGCCGAAGAAGATGAAGATGCGGTCGGTGAGGGTCAGAACGGAGGCGATGGCCTTGATGCGGCTGACACCAGGCGACTCGAGGTCCTTGAGGCTCTGCACGGTGTGAGCAGCGCTCTGCTCAGCGACCGGTTGCTTCTCGTAGGCTGGCGGGGCGGGCTCAGGGGCGCCGACGGTGACTTCGGTCTTGCCCATGGCTGGCGGTTGTGTCTTGAAGCTCAAGACAGCAACGGCAGAATTAAGATAAGACGGGGGTGGGGAGGGGTATTTCAATTAATGTCAAGGGGGAATAAAGGAAAGACAGGTCGGTTTGGTTGTATTATGCAGGAGGATGCGACGATCCCGCCTATTATGATACCGGAGAGCGGATGGGGGAGAGAAAGAAGCCAGAAGCTCAAGAGGACGGGGAAAACGCAACTCTAAATGGGCAATCGAAGCTCTGCGATTCTGGACTGCCCATCAGGACCCATGGAGAGCTCCATCCGGGTTGGTCAAGTACTGGATACGCGAAGACGCAGGGTCCGAGACATGGATGGGGATGCTATATGCGGCCTTCTCGTCCCTCCACCCACCCTCATTCCGGACCGTACCTATTTCGTACCTAGTTACCTCTGTGTCTGACGGACCTGTCGAGCAAGCAAGCGTAAAAAAAAAGTTTGCCTTTCCTTTGTCGGGGAGGGGCGATTGATTAGATCAGGAATCAGCAGACCATCCACCCAATGGCCTGCATGACTCCATGGGTGATGCGTGGAACATGTGGCGTTAGACTAAGGAAAATTCTGTTTTATCAGATCCATCCTGTGTCCTAGTGGCGGGTCGTGAGTCCCAAAATGGAGGCCTCTAACCTCCTTGATGTGCTGGCGTGGTGATCAGCCCATGCAGTGTCAAGAGTGTGTGCGAGTCTTACTGACGGCGAGGCCGAACAGCCGATTGCCAGCAGTTACCATCGAGAGTCCGAGACTCTGGACACTGCATTCCTCCGCCAGCGTGTAGCCTTACTGCCCACACTCTGACGCTCCAAGTGGGAAGCTCTGCGTAATGCGGCTGCGGTTGGTGCCCTCTCGTGTTTCAGAGCCAGATCCGGAAGCTGACTTCCTCACCGAGCTGACGAGATGAAGAAGGGATTTAATCACATCACGCTTTCCACTGTCAACAGAAAGAGAAGGATGATTCTTCACCCAGCCTGGAGAATGGACGTCCGAATCATCGGCTCATTTGGGATACGCAGGTCGGCGTGATCTTGAATCGCTTTGAGCCGCATTAGCCTTCGCCAAGGCCGAACGAAAGTCCCCGTAGGACCCGCGACGGCCATCACCAACGCTCAATTCTCGCGCGCGCCAGCGGCGCTACCACGATGGGGAGGATTTGACTATTGCTTTGAAGACGCGTCACGTAGACTCTGGCGATATGAAACAGGATTCGCCATTTAATTTATTTCTCTTATTAGCTGCGACGGTTATAGCAGAAAAATATGATTATGGATCCATTGCTGCTGAATGCTCCCCGGACATTTGGGATCGGAGGATCCTACATGGTGGCAGTAGCGTGCTGCAGGGCAAAGCAGCCCCATTCTTAGGAGGCAATAATTACGTACCGAGTAAATACCGGAACGCCGATGTTAATTATAGGGCGAGAGATGTGTGGCGAGCCCTGAATACGGAACAGCGCAATTTGCAGCATGTGCCAGCTGCTCGCCGAAGACGGAGCATAGTAGACTGACGAGGGACGGACATGTTCTGCAGGCGACGATTCTTCCATCCAGGGACCCAGGGATCGACCATCATCCCAGTTCAGCTCAATTTATGAAGACGGTTTGCCGTTTTGGGAGGCCAGGTGAGACATTGATGTTGGTCGCGTGTGTGTCGGGAAGCGTCTCCATCAGAACAGTTAGCAATTTCCTAGCTTGAGCGGCGGACGAGAGATTTGCTTTTCTCTCTCACTCTCCCACTCTCTTCCTTCTCTCTCGCACCTTTCATCCTCTGAGTAGCAGCGTTTGGGCAAAATTTTCCCAACCAGGAGGAGTTTACTGCGGATCAAACGGCTCGCTAGTTGCCCATCCTTGACTAATCAATCAATCAAATCAATCAGACTAGCTCCCATCTTGGCTGACGGGCCGTTTTCGGATTTTTCCCTCAGCCACTCAGGTGGTTTTCTCAACCCATCGTCCCTCTCTCTAGGCAGCCATGAATCAGCCGAGGTGGCTCTGGCGGCCGCTGCTTCGTCGGTGCGACTACACAAACTGGGATATAAGCCCACGGGAAAATCTTGGGCAGGCAGTTGATAGGAATGCCACGCCCACAAACCTACTCGTATTGAATAGTGTGGACCGAGGCCGCACAGGCCCTGTCGAGCGGCCATTCATTCCTCTTTGACCTAAGCGTTGGTCTGGTTGATCTATCGTCGCAAAAGACAAGGCAAGGCCTTATTCGATAGAGTTTTAAAGAATGGCTCTGGCTGATGGCAAAGCACCGGGAGGGGTGGGTTGGGTTACACTCGCCAATGGCCCTCCCGTAGTGTGTCCCTTGCTCCCTGTTCCTCGCTCCATGCCTGACTCTTCCTGGAAGGTGCATGTACACGGCAGATTGCTGGCCCCAAAGCAGTAGCTGTTGTTCTCATTCAAATGCCCCCCAGGGATCCAGGTCGCTTGAATCAATTCTTGCGACTCGGTTGGATCGGTCGGGTCGGATCGGTTCGCGGAACAAATTGATTGATCGTTGCAACCCTTCATCGATCGCGCCTTGGACAGGATCGAGTAGCAATCCGATCAACGATATTGCGACACATGGCGAGTGTATGAAGCAATTCAGCCGTACAAGCATGCGCCCAACGCAGGCATCGCCGGGTGGTTTGCGCAGCGTGGATGCCATTTGACGTGATACGGCACTCGGTCAATAAGGCCCCGAGTAATCGAGCACCGACAAGACGTGCGGGTCGTGTGTCGACGGCCGAGAGACTGGTTGGATGTAGCTCGAGACTGATCAATCTTTTGACCGCGCGTCTAGTGTGAATGATAGCCTCGTAGCCTCGCATTCCGGAAACCTTCCAGCCTCAACCTCGCAAACGTGAGCACAAGATCTCCCAGATCGCAGATCAAACCGCGTCACCAACCCACGGGATGACGCTCCAAGGAGGCGATTAAGCGAAAGGCATCATGAGCCAAGCACTGCTCCTGTTGGCTGGCAGCTTTTCCGTGGGTCCAGCCGTCCCACCACTTTTTGAGGAGGAGGAGGTTTGCTCTTTCCAGCCGAGCGAATCAGAGGCCACCTGCTTCCGCTTACTTAAGCTTCCAGTCCCATTACCCCTCATCGCGTCTTGACACTTGGCGGGGCAGGTGCAATACAGTGAATGACGTGCTGTCTGGCACCTTTTTGGTTTCGTTGCTGTGGCATAGCAGCACACAGCACATCATGCCTAGGGCCATTGGAAAATCTCGACGGTGCTGATAAACCCCTCTTCCCTCCTCTGCTTCCTTGCTCTTCTTTTCCTTCCATCTTCTTCCCAACACCCCAGCACCATCCACCACAATGTCTCTCGGCAAAACCAGCACCCTCAGCTCCGGCCACACCATCCCAACTCTTGGGTTCGGCACCTGGCAATCTGCCCCAGGTGAGGTCGGAAATGCTGTCTACGAGGCTCTCAAGGCCGGGTACCGCCACCTTGATCTCGCCAAGATCTACCAGAACCAGCGCGAAGTCGCCCAGGGCATCAAGAAGGCCTTTGCCGAAGTCCCCGGTCTGAAGCGAGAGGACATCTTCATCACCTCCAAGCTTTGGAACAACAGCCACAAGCCTGAGCTCGTCGCGGCTGCCCTTGACGACACTCTGGCCGAGCTTGAGCTCGACTACCTCGACGTATGATCCTCGATCCGAAGCCCCCCGTCCCTTGGCAGAACACCAGCCTGCGATCTCTGATCGAGAGATAATGTCTAACACAACAATCTGTCTATAGCTCTACCTCATCCATTGGCCCGTCGCCTTCACCCCAGGCCCTGAACTGTTCCCTCGTATCGCTGGCAAGGAGAGCGACGCCAACATCGACGACAATGTTGGCCTGGTCCGAACCTGGAAGGGTACGTTTGCCCAATCTATTTGCTCATCTATACACATACTTACAGAACGACAGCTGTGACCGAACTACCCAAGTCCAAGGTCCGATCCATCGGCGTTTCCAACTTCACGATTGAGCAGGTAAGTTCACTTATGCCACCTCCACCTGTTTGCACACTTGGCTCTAACGCTCGCCTGCTAGCTCGATGCCATCATCGCCGACTCTGGTGTTGTCCCCGCCGTCCACCAGATCGAGCGACACCCCCGCTTCCAGCAGGAAGAACACGTCGAGTACGGCAAGAAGAAGAACATCCACATCACCGCCTACTCGGCCTTTGGAAACAACGGCGTCGGCGAGCCCCTCCTCATCACCCACCCCGACATCGTCGCCACGGCTGAGCGTCTCTCCAAGAAGCTTGGCAAGCCTGTCGCTGGTGCCCAAGTCATTCTCGCCTGGGCCCAGATTGGTGGCAACAGTGTCATCCCCAAGTCCGTCACTGCCTCGCGCATCCAGTCCAACTTCCAGGAGATTGAGCTCGACGACGAGGCCATAGCGGCTGTCAAGAAGGTTGGCGAGGATAAGAGACGCTTTAACATTCCATACACATGTAAGTTTTGCTCTTTTCCTGCCCGGCAATGATCGAGTAGCTGACTGGTTGGATGCAGACACCGGCCCCAGGTGGGACATCAACATTTATGATGAGGAGGTTGAGAAGCCCGCCACCCACAAGCCTGTCATTCGCGTATAACGCGATCTATGCTGGAATAACGATCTGAGGGAAAGACAAAAAAGGAATGCAAGATAGAAGACATCGTTTGGAGTCCCCGCTAGACAACATGGAAAGCCTAGTTGATGAAGTATTTGGAGGTGGCTATTCCGGTGATAGAATGGACTATATAAGGGTTAATAAATCTTAATATCCTTCCTTCAAGTCCCTCTCCCTTTTCTAGCGTGACAATCGTCTACCCGACTTGAGGTTCCCGTACCTATTGAGCTGCGCCGGTTCCTTGCCGACCAATTGATCTCGTTCTGTGTTTGCCTAGGTAGTTCTTCTATCAAGGACGCTGGACGCAGCTTTCTTCTGCTAGCCACATGGGTACTAGAGGGACTCCCACCAACTATCGGCTGCCTCCCATATGCCGAACATGCCGTGCCACAATTTGGAAATACATCATACCTACGCGACTATGTTGATAGGGGGATGTTCAGACACTACAAGAAACGGAATTTAATTGAAATATTGTGTTAATTGTAGCATCTGTGATTAACTCGGGTGTGGCCGATACCTGACCGGGAACTCGCGCACGCAGCAGATACCGGATACCCGAACCGTGAGTAGCCTATTCTCGACCGCGTGCGTATATAGCTGGAACAAGGCATCAGTGGGTTATCAATGAAACTTGGGCCGGCTTAATGAACGCAAAGTCTCTCAACCTCTTCAATTACCCAGCTCTAACTCATCATGGCTTCACAGACAATGAAGCTTGTATATCAACCGGATCCAGCGTCTCAGGATCTCATCCTCTCATCATCCTCCCCGATCCCAAAATTAACTGATCCGGACGACCATCTCGTCCGCGTGAAAGCAGCATCTCCATGCCGCCATGAACTTCTCTGGGAAGCTACGGATGGTCACCTTTTCCAGAAAGGGCGCACACCGCCCCGCGTCCCCTGTCCCGATGGCGCCGGCGTTATTGTCACTGCTCCCACGGCCAACAGTCCCTTCCAGCCGGGCGACGAAGTGTTCTTTTCCATTGATTACACATCCAGAGCCGGCTGCCTAGCTGAATACACGATTGTGAAGACGGGCGAGATGGCTCTGAAGCCCAAGACGTTTGGTTGGCCTGCCGCTGCCGCCGCGCCTCTGAGTGCATTGACGGCATGGCAGGGCCTCTTCATACATGGAAACCTGGCCATTCCGTCTTCCACGTCCCAGGAGGAGAATGCTGGAAGGAGGATTCTCGTAACGGGGGCGGCGGGATCTGTGGGGTCATGGGTTGTGCAGCTCGCGGCGGCGGCTGGGGTGACATCCATCACTGGAGTGTGCAGTGATTCTAAGCTTGAGATGGCGAGATCCCTTGGTGCAACAGAGGTCTTATCTTACTCATCTTTTTCTACCCCGTCATCAAACAGGTATGACCTTATTCTCGATACAGTCGGGGGCAATGCACTCAGAGACTGTTGGTCGGTTATCAAGGCAGATGTTGGGGTTTTGTTGGCCGTTGGTTCCGACTACCCTGAGAATGTGAGGCCAGAGGGGGTTCCTCAGGTGGCCAAGAGCGAATGGTATCTCGTGAAACAATCAAAAGATGATTTGGAGGCTGTTGCTGCGTTGGTTGACCAGGGAAAATGCAGAGCAATGGTGGATAGCGAATACGCGTTGGAAGACTACAAAGCCGGCTTTGAGAAGGTTTCAGGCGGGCACCCGAATGGGAAAGTCGTTTTCAACATACCTTAGAACTAGGCTTGGAAAAATCTAATCAAGTAAGGAGAGAATGAATTGATCTGATTTCTAGAAGATGTTGGGTATTAAGATTGAGTGCCGGCAATTAGGCTCCGCAACCCTTCAACCCCATCGTTGTTGATGGGGCAAAAAAACACGAAGAGCGGAAGGAAACTGGAGAACATGGAGGATTAAGCCATTGGGAGATCATTATGTGACGTTAGACCAACGTATCCAAAAGATGGCTAGAACTTACTTGATTTCGTGGCACGAGTGGAAGCAAATAGCTGACGTTGTCACGCAGCAACCTTGGTCTATAAATCTATTCTCTGACATGGAACTTTGATTTCTAAATTCCAAATACCATGCTCTCTAGTTGACTTATATCAAGCAAAGTCGCAGCTGATTGGAAGTTCATTATATCAAATTCAGCTGGGAACTTGGGTATATTGTCCACAGCTACTGCGTATTCATTTTGCATCTCCGTCACGGCCTGGACACATTGCCCTGCTAGGCCCCATGATTCTGACAGAATCCTCATTAAGCCCAGGAGCTCGTTGAGGGCGGCCGTCGCTTTCTCCAGTTCCTGTTCATATTTGGGTTGGTCATATAGATCCGCAAGGACAAGAATTAGCGTGGACGCTGCGGAGAAGGAGACATGAGAAAAGGTTTGGTAACCTCGACCCATGCCGTATCGCTGGTGGAATATCTGCAGCACCTTGACCGTAGAAAGAGCCGCGGCAAAGTGTTTTTCGCCTTCAAGGGTCTCAAGACATCTGCGTCGCACAAATGGACGGTTGAGAAATATACATGCTGTATTTCTCATTCCATACAGTACACTACATCACTTAAGTCAGCCATACAGAGGTAGTTTCAAGGAGAGTGAGAAGAAACTCTACACACAACACATGAGGCGGAATCGAGTTATTCGGGTTTAATAACTGCGACATGGCTTCGCTTTCGCCATTCGGCTCAAGGTACTGTTGGTTCCTGTATAGTTACGGTCAGCTGGCGCACGCAAAAGTTACAGGCTCACGGTAATCTTGCCATCGATCCAAATCGTTCCGAATTCCTTGGATTTCACCCATGGACAGACCAAGAGGCCTAGTGAGCCCATAGAGACCTTCCATGACTTGACCGTAAATTCCCGCTATGGAAATCGTTGCTCGCTGTATGACCCGTTCCTCATAAAGTTGGTTCGGCCAGCAAAGGCTAAGCAAAGCACCTGTATGAGGAGGAGGCTCTAGATTGTGATCAGTCTCCTTGAGTATAGGATTTCTGCCAACAAAAATGCTGTGGTTTCTAGAAAAGGTCAGAACAAACACACCTACAAAGAACAGAATAACCTTACTTTTCATGGAGAAAGACAGACCAGAAGGCATTATTTCGCCGCCGATAATCTATTTGGGATAAAGAACCGTAATCCCTCAAAGGCTTGCTATTGATATGAAGGCCTAATTCCTGAGCCAGCCGCGCTGCAATACCTGGCCACCGTGTAGTTGTCAGCTTACCACAAGACGAGCTATTAATATGAAACGAAGTCTTACCAGAGTATAGCCAGGCCATGGATGACTTTCCCGCGTCATTAAGCAATCCAAAGAGAAGAGTAACCGCTATCACAGTGGACGGAGTGGGCTTCCTTTCCAGCTCACCGCCAACTAAGGCGAGTGCAGCCTGGAGAAATGGCAGGCCTCTAGTTCCTCCAGTTCGGGCACCTATTATTGCCGGATGGTTCTCCTCTGATATGTGGCATGCGTGCCCGAGAATACAGTAGTGTAACATGAGGGAATAGCCATTATCACTGCCAGATTCGTTCAACATGTTGATCCCTGTTTGCCCTGACGAGCTCTGTTCTAAGCCTAGCCTGAACTCATTCTCGTTGACATATGCGCTGAATCCATTGAGATGAGAGAAGAAGCAATGCAGTAAGTGTGCATGTACGTCTGGAGGCAGATTGATTCCGTGTTGGTCCGGAAGTTGTTGAGAACATGGAAAGAGATATGAGGTGTCACCTGTTTTCGAGTATTAGTCCTGCGGTTCAATAGCAAGCACCTTTCTTACTCACTCAATAGACTAATGTTAGTTCTTTGATTCAGGGGCACAGATGTCGGTCCCATGTAGGTCCATTTACCAGTCACAAGATCAGGATGTAGTCTACTGGACATGCTTGGGAGTATTCCAGCCGCGTCGCTGTCGGCCTCATCGCTCTCTGTTTTATGACTAGATTGCTCCAAAATAGCGTCATCTGCGAGTTGCGCAGCGGTCGATGATTCGTCAAGCCCATGCTGTGAGATGATGGAGTTCAACCGCTCTACTTCAGCCTCCAGTTCCACTACACGCTGGCTGAGACCGTTCCTGTGACGAGGTTGGTCAGTATCTGAATACTGCATCTAACTTGTACCAACCGGCGTGATCTCCGACATTTAGATGCTCCAGCTTACAACTTACCCAACCCTCCCATCTCTCCGCTGGGGCCAATCGCAGTCAAATCCGCGCTTCTTGCAGGATCCACATGTAGGTCGTTCACCGTCACACTTGCCCCTCCTCTGTCGGCATTTCGTGCAGGCTTGAGTTACGTGCGAGCGGCGGCTGTCTGCCTTGGGTGTAGACATGGTGCAAGCAAGTCGTAGCAGACATTCGATACGGCTCAACAGGGGTTGATTGGGATAAGTCTGTTCGTAGAGTCCAGGGAGAACATGGGCTTCACAGCATGAACCCCATAGATACACTAAGCAAAGCTTATTATTAATAAGGCTACAAACTCGGTCGAGAGAGGTCCACACTGGGATATGATGAACAGGCCAATCAGATGTTTACGTTTGCATCGTCGGAAAACAGCAATTCCGTTGGTGCAGGGACAGGCAAAGTGACCCGCCCATAGGCGTGCAAACTCGTTGGGTATAATTGCCCCCTGCCTTGCTGACCATAATTGTAGATGGACTTCTGAAAACACAGGGACATCCATAAACCAAGTCACAAGTATGGAGAAAGCAACAAACTCTGAAGCTAACCACCAGAGCGTAGAGGGCTTGGGCGTTGCAGCTCCCGACAGGCAACTCCAGGATGTCCAGACAGACAGTCTCAGGTCCTGGCTGGTGGTCTTGGGATCTTTCTGTACGCTGACTTGCACATTTGGTGCGGTCAGTAGCTACGGCGTATGTGTTGACACCACTTGAATCCTTCCATATTAACGCTTGCGGAAGGGCAATGATAAAAAGCTAACAGACGATATTTTAGGTCTTTCAAGCCCACTACAAATCTTCTCTATTGTCTGAATATTCGGCGTCACAGATATCTTGGATTGGGGCAATCCAGTACTTTCTCCTATTTTTCTTGGTAAGGAAGGAATTTTTTTCATGCTGCCCTTACGTGATATAGCGAAGCTTTAGACGGTATCCAGAACATTTACTGACGAGTGCAAATAGGGTTTGCCAGCTGGTTATCTCGCTGATATTGGATATACAAGACATCTCATGGTTACAGGTTCTGTCATTGTGATCGTATCTCAGCTCTGCATCAGTTGGTGTGCCAAGTATTGGCAGTTTCTCCTTGTACAGGGAATAATATATGGGATCGGATGTGGATCTCTGTTCACCCCTGCTTGTGCGGTAGTGCAGCCATGGTTTGAGAAGTACGCACCCTTTTCCCCAAGGAAATTACAGATTGATATCATTTGAGAATGAAAAGTGCCTTGGCTCACAAGTGAACTAGGCGGCGAGGCCTTGCGCTTGGTGTTATTGCTTGCGGTGCCGCAGTCGGAGGGGTTATTTGCTCCATTGTCTCCTCATCTTTGCTGCCCCGGATCGGGTTCTCATGGGCATGTCGAGTTCTCGCACTCCTCTTCTTCGTTCTTTTGAGTGTATCATGCGCTGTAAGTGATCTGCAAACTGTGGGAAAGCTACTACAAGCAAACTCATGTGAGATACAGTTGATCAAACCATATCCTATGTCCATGGGCACAAACATCGACGCCAATGATTTCGACGCCATCGCCACGTGGGGCTCCTGGCTTAGAAACACCTTTCCCGCTATTTTTGAGCCTGCCTTTATCTTGTATCTTTGCGGGCTCTTTTGCGCTACCGCAGGTGTATATCTTCCATTCAATTTCCTACAACAATATGTGGGTGATATTGGTCTGTCAGGATCATACTCAAAGGTACGAAGTTATGCTCTTATTCACACGAGTAGCGGGATACTAACTCTTAAGCCAGTACATGACTGCCTATATCAATGCATCCTCGATCTTAGGACGCTTAGGAGGGGGAATCCTCGCCGACAAGTACGTATGCTTCGCATTTGACCTTACATTCATAGTAGTGAAACGTCTGATTCGCGGTTAGGATTGGCCCTTTGAGGTGTATTGCACCTGCTCTCATTTGCTGTGCAGTCTTGTGCTTCGTTTGGACGCAATGCCACGCAAAGTCCACAGTACTCTTACATTCTCTCCTATTTGGGTAAGATTCCATTAGATACTCGTTGTTTGTACTGGAATCTACTAAAAGCATGAGAAAGTATCCCCCAAGGCGTTTATATCGCTTTGATTCCAGCTGGAGCCAGAGCTGTTGCTCAGAAAGGCCTTGGAAAATCTCTTGGTTTGGGATTCACCATCCAAAGCTTTGCGGCGCTCAGTGCACCTCCCATTTTCGGGGCACTCATCGATCCCAAAGGAGGGAGTTCGGCATATTTCACTGCCAGTATATTCGGAGGTGAGTAAATGATAAAAATCCCCAAGACGACTCTTATTCACAGTTGCATTATCCTAGGTTCCATGCTGGCAGGGGCATCAGTTGCTATGCTCTTGGTGCTCGTTCTTGTCGAAAGGAGAGCCCGAATCATCTAGGAGTTCAACAGTCACTGGTGCCGAAATTGATAGGTGAATCGGTCGAGTAGTCACTACCTACAAGAAACACGGGCCTGCTTTGAATGTAGCTACGGTGAGGCATAGACATTGAGCAAATCTCCTACTTGGCAGACCGCTGTTGCTTGGAATCTGGTAAAGAATCACCATTTATATATGTGGCGAGCTGGAGAGGACAAAAGGAGAACAGAGTGTTCCTAAAAGCTATTTCCGTAGATACTGATATGATGAATGAGAATATCTGTTTCTATCCTTAAACTGCATGATAAATACAGGTTTCCGTCCGAGATTTCATTCATTCGTCGCATCTTGTAGGTTATGTAATGTGGGTGTTTTGAAATATTGGGACTGGCTATCCATCCCAATACAATCACGGAGAGAGAGATTGTTTTCATCCTTTGGAATATACTAGTTCTGTTACCAAAATTCAGCGCCAACTATTCATTGACCCATTAAGGAACAAGGTAATGAAGCATGTGCTCTCACACCATCAGGCATTCCTGCCATTTTCGAGTTCGTCGGCTAACCACGATCTCTTTGTTCCTCTGATTCATAACAGACACAGGTAATTAAGGTTGAACCGAGAAAATATGGCACAAGGGATTTGGATTGCTTCTGAATACCTAGGTAAGTTTCTTGACGCATAGCCATCTCCTCAACGCCACGTAAAGTCTCTCCGTTAACTTCAAATTTCATGTGACCGAACGGTTTTAGCAATTTTCCAATCTTAAACGTCGGTCACAGTGTTGTTGAAACTTTAACCATCCACTCAAGACTTCTCTTTCTCCTCACCACCCACATTCTCCTCGACTGAGCACACCTCGCCTTCGTGGACAACAGGAAGGTCGCTACGGGCCTCGATGAGCTCATTTCCCCATTTTGTCGACTGGCTTGCCGTAATAACAGCATCCATCATCATGTCAATCTCGTGGTGCGACAATCCTTTGGTCTCATAGAGGCAAAAGTAGTCGAATACAAGACAGATACAGATTCCCCCAAGCCAAATGTAACAAATCTTTGCTCCAAGATATACGGGATCCTGGAATATGTAAGGCGAGCAGAACTGAAAGGTCCAGAGGAAAAGGGTACAGCATGCATTGGCGAAGCCGAGCGTCTTCTGGCGGAGTCGGGCGGTGGGTATCTCGGCCGTGTACGCCCAGCCTGCTGGTTGATAGAAGGCTGCTAGGCAAAAGACACCGAGCGTGATGAAGGCAACGATGGTCTTGCTGGTCTCCGGCGCTGTCGGTCGGACGGTATAGACGACAGCGCAGACCAAGTTGCACACTGCTACACCCGTTCCGCCGATGAACTTCATCGGACGACGGCCCAGCCTCTCGACAAGCCAGATACCGGGGAAACTTCCGACGGCGTTTGTCCCCGCGAGCAATGCAGTGACGGCTATGGGGTTGGTGAACCCAGCCTGGCGGATAAAGACGGCGCCATAGCTGAGGAAGAAGATGGTGCCGCTGAAGGCATTGTAGAGCACAATGTTTGCCGCGCTGTAAAATGTCCGTCGGATGTTCTGTCGATGGAACAGTTCAGCCCACGTTGATTCGCCAAGTGCATTATGGTACCGCATCGTCTCTTGCATGTCGAAGACCTCCTCCGCTACGACAGGGTCGTCAATAGGCACGGATCTCATCTGAGCAATGGTGGCCCGCGATTTCTCCCAGTTGCCTCGGCGAGCCCAGTGCATCGGCGTCTCGGGCATGAAGAGCAAGGCGAGGGAGCAGACCCCTGCGGCCATGATACACAGAGAGATCGGGATCTGATAAGATAATTCGTCTGTCCGGCGAGTAGCGGCATAGGTCATCAGAGCCGTGAAGAAGTTTCCAAAAGTGAGGATCTGATGACCCATGCTCACACCGAGGCCACGGAGATGTTTGGGTGCAATCTCGTTGATGTACGCCGCTAGACACGTTCTGTCAGATTCTGATGCTGATACTTTTGACACACTATCTCTCAACTTACGGCTGAGAACCAGCGCAAATGCCAGTTGAAGCCCACAGATGGCCCTGCCAGCAATAAACATGTTGACGTTGACAGCAGCCAGCTGGATAGCAGCCCCGGCAGCAAAAGTAAAGCATCCGATCAGTAATCCCCATTTCTTTCCAACTATAGTCATTCAATGTGAGAAATCAAAGCTTCGATCGATGGAAATTGGAGACTTCTCAACATACTCTTATCTCCAATGGCAGCAGCAATGAAGGCTCCAAAGAAAGAGCCAATGTAGATGGTCGAGGACAGCAAGGATAGTCGACTAGACAATATGGCATATGTGTCCGTCGATGCATCATAGGTCCCGAATTTCTTGATAAATAACGGTGCGGCCAACAGGCCGTTGAGATAGCCGTAATCGACTCCGTACACGAAGAAGGTGAGTCCACCAAAAAATATGCTGTCAACCACAACGATTAATATACTCTCCTCCTCAACACACGAGAGAAAATCGTCGGTGCCTACTAGAGAATCGGGACAACAGATCGCCGTGTCCACATTTTGAAGCAAAGGTATCGTACGAGCAGGGCTTGTCTTAGCGGCGTCGAGTTTCCTCAAAGATCAGAAAAGTGATTGTGAAGTTGTAAAGAAATCAGCTGGGTTGTCCATTGCATATATATACCCTCTCTAGTTCTCTAGGCCGACTGCGTTGGTTATAAACAGACGGTGCGAGTGCTGATAAGAGGAAAATGCTGAATCCGACCTTGTTAAGTTAGCTGGCAAGAGGCCAAGAAAACATCGCCCGCAGGTTGGTAAAGCTTGGTAGAGCAGGGGCTAGATCCAACCCATGATCTTACTAACTTGGCGTCTGGGGCGAGATAAGCTGATAAAGGACATATTCATTATTCATTCGTTTAGTGCCGGGGGGCTGATAGACGGAAAACAACAATTCCGGGCAACAGTCGAGCGGCTTGCTCCTATTGGTCTACATTTGTTCAAGAATCCCGCCCTCGGAAACGATGAGTTCCGTGTATCTCAAGACGAGAAACGTCCCATTTCTTTGAGTACGCCATAAGAATGTCAACTTATTTAAGTTACTGGATTGTTAATGGACTCTAGTGCAGCTCATCTGCGCACTTGCCACTCCACCTATCAATACTTGCTTCACAACATTGAAATATCAGCACACCATGCCTATCCAACATCCCGTGGTTAAAGTGGCTGCAGTCCAAGCCGAGCCCTGCTGGTTCAACATTGATGCAGGTGTTGAAAAGACCATAAAGCTTATCACTGGTAAGTTCAATATTGTATTCGTGATATACTCTCCAGGTTATCGATGCGTGGCTAACCACCCAATGTTAGAGGCCGCAACTCAAGGTGCAAAATTGCTCGTATTTCCGGAGCTCTGGCTTCCAGGTATGTTATTCGGAATGAAAAGCCCAAGACAGATACTTACCAGGCATAGGTTATCCTCATTTTCTATATCCGAACGATTTTGCCTCTATCCGACCTCTCTGGGGAAGTAAGCATTCACTATTGGTACAGCCATTGAATCATCTAAACTGCCGATCATAAATCACTTGTATCAAAGCAAATTCAAAGTGTGTTGTTAGCTAACCCTCTCTTTTGCTTGTAGAATACTTACTAAATGCAATCACTCTTCACGGAAGCGAGCTTCTTGCGATTCGAGAGGCTTGCCAGAAACAAAAGATTTACATCAATCTTTCATTTGCTGAACGCGTTGCTCAAGGATCCTCTATGTGGATGGCAAACGTGACGATAGATGACCAAGGCACAATTATTGGACACCGAAGAAAGATCAAGCCCACGGGAATAGAGCGGATGCTGTTTGGGGATGCTACTGGTGATTGATCATTCTCGACTCAACATTATTTCCTCGTACTGATGGGTTTACTAGGAGATACTGTGAACAATGTTGTACAAACTCCGTTCGGAAGAGTTGGAAACTTGCAGTGTTGGGAGCACATGCAACCTCTTCTCAAATACCATACCTATTTTCAAAGTCAGTGACTACATCTAGGTTTTTTAGGATTCTTTTTCTATTTTTTTTTTTATTAATTTCATAAGAAATCCAACTGACTTAAACATTAGATGAGCAAATTCACTGCGCTTCATGGCCATGCAAGTTTCCTTATGCCGGATTCGAGCCATGGTCCTTTACCAGGGAAGCCGGCATAGCCACGACCCAAACATATGCCATGGAAGGGGGCACATTTGCTGTCATGGCCACCAACGTCATGTCCGAAGAAGGAGCCAGATTGCAAGGAATTGATCTCGCACGATCGTACTTCTCTGTTCCTGGGGGAGGCTGCAGTGCAGTCTTTGCACCAGATGGCAAGATGCTGACTGACCTTCTAGAACCCGGAGCCGAGGGTATCGTGTAAGTGACACTTCAAAGCTGAATCTTTTATGGCTCGTCAAAACCTAAATACCAGGACGTTGTTACTGATCGGAGGCTTGTTAGATATGCCGTGTGTGACCTAGCTGAGATAGATTCAGCTAAAGCACTAGCAGATTGCGTCGGGCATTATATGCGGCCAGACATTCTCCGATTAGTTGTTGACAAAGAACCAAAGGAACCCGTCGTCTATCAGCCGATTCCGAACCTGGGTCTTTCCGCCGAATCACCTAGTTTGAGTGAGCAAAAGATGTTTTCAAGCTAGGTGACAACATTTGATGCCTCGGATGATGAATCTCAAGTTCGCGGCTTATTACAGCTAAACACTATCCTGAAAAGCAATCTCACCAAAGGCTACTTTCGTTCTTGAAACTGATTGATGATTATATAATCTGAGCTAGAACTGAGCTCGACTGAGGCCGACTGAGGCCAACTGAGGTGCGGATAACCCTTCCGACGGGACAGTCCATTCTCAACAATGCTAGCACCAATCTAGATGTAAAGTTTTGAGCCAGTTCGTATATCTGGATTTTATAACTGTAGAATGAATTAAAGGTAAGAGTGATTTTATCTCTTGTTCTATTCTATTCTATGCCATATTGCCAACAAGTCTGAAATCTAAATAATATGTACAAACGTTTTACTTATGCTTTTACCGCTATGCTTTTACCGCAAGAGCATTCTTCTCCCAAATACCCTGGGCTAGGATACCAGAGCCAAGGACGCCAAGTATTGAGAGAGTCAGCTCGTTTAGCGGGCCTTTGGGGAGAGCATTATTTACAGCGATAATCAGGATGGCCGAGGTCCGCACAAGGCTCTTCCTCCAACTTTTATCCACCGCTCCCCGTGACCGCACACGCTGCGCGACCACACGCACCACTGCCATGACTGTATTGATGGCAAAGGACCTCAAGCTCCAGCGTGTAAGAATGGCCGTTGTGGCTGAGGATAGTTTGATAATTTTATGTCTGGAAAAGAAGATGGCATGGTCGCAAATATGATATACAAGCAAAGCAACCGCTTGGCAAAAATCCACCAAAAGGTCAAAAGACTGTGTTTCTTTAGAACTCGATTCCTCCGCATCATCCAAAGACTCATCAATTTCAATGAGTTTCTTAAGCGATAGGATTATCTCGATTGTTCCCCATAGACGGTTGAAACACCGGGCATCAGTGATCATACCCGTAGAGGCCTTGGAGCGCTCTTTGAGCAGGGTGACACGTTTGGGCGCTTGCTCCTTTAGGTCAGGGGGATGTGGGCTGTCGTGTTTGGATGATGATACAGCAGGCTTGATGGCCACTGCGGCCTTTCCGATATTGTCCAAGATGCTGCTTGAGAGGCGGCTAGACCAAAATGCGAAGAGCAGCCAGCCTTCAGTGTCAATGCGAGCGGTAATACAGCGCTGCAGGCGAGCGGAAAGCTGTCCGGAACTGAGGCGGCTAGTTTGAATCTGGTCGGCAGCTCTGGGCATTGCCACTTTCGCGTGGGCTGATCCATTCATGCCGACTCAGGGGCTGATGGGATTAATTGGTCTTTCTTGGACTCTCGAGGTCATATTAGAGCGACGAAATGACGTGGAGGAGTATGATTTTGTTTGGGAGTAGGATAGATGGATATGGAATCAACGGATGATATGTGTCTTTTTGTTTTCAAAAAAAAAAAAAAAAAAAAAAAAAAAAATACAAACTGTTTCAATTGACATGACCTTCAGGGGCGCAGCAGTGCTCTCATTAGCAGGGGCCAAACTGAGCTGTCTGAGCTGGAGCTGAGCGAAACCCAGAGCATGGCTGAGCCGCTGATGTAAGTAATTAGCTGAATCAGACTAACTAACCGAAAACGGAAATTGTTTCGACCGGGGTGTGTCGAAAGGCAGCGTTCAGGGAGAAAGGGTCGGCCCGCGCATCGCCCGCGGACTGCAAAGACGTAGATCCTTTCTGGAGGACTAATGATCGTTCTATTCACTTACCCATTCATTGTTTCTTTTCTACCATATCCGTATGTTGGGTTGCATTTTATCTAACGTTTTCTCTTTTAAGGTTTCATTTTAGTAATTAGCGTCCCTTTCTCGCGAGATTCTTATACTTCGCCAGGTAGACGGATGTGGCTGGACTCTAGGGTATCTGCATCGTCTCCGGAGCACGCATGAATCAGCGGCGCCTTGTGCATGATCCATTCGTCCTCTGGCTACAAACACACTCTGATTTCATATTCGCCTCGCATGGAACAAACTAATATTTCGGGATTCTATTCTTCTTAGGCCTCTTGTCTAGTGAATTTTCGTAATTTACCTTGGCGATCAATCATTATTGACTTCGTGATAGACTGGTCCTAGATGTGGTGTTGATGGGCTACAATATGATTTATTTGGCTGTGATTGATATCGTCGCGATAATCAAACTGCTGCCATACGCATTATGGGGGGGATCAGTGAAAATAAATGGAGTGGTGAAAGTTCAGTCCAAACATTCTTTTTAACGAGGAAGATTTGTAGAGAAGCCACATTTCACAGTTAGACTCACACGAGTTTGAACATGGGCTTGAAAAATTGCCCAAGTTCGTTATTATTGTTGTCGGTTTCAATTTAGAACCGTTTTGGGCTATGTTTAAGTAGGTAACCCAGGAAGCCTGTACCAGTCATAAGAATAAGTATAATTGTACCTATAACTCAAGCCATAGTTCTTGGAGCTCTGTATGATCCATAATATAAACCTCTTCCAATATGTAAATATACTAAAAAAAAGAGAGCTGATAACCGGGTCGGGCTGTGGAGACTGTGATGACGTGTTCCATGCAGGAGGAGTGACTTTAGAAGGTATGCCTGGAACCAACAGAGTAGCCATAAGCTACTGTAGAAATTACATATTTACCGCACCTTTGCTCACAATGAATTCACTAGCTTCTTAACTAGCAAGATAACGACCCTAAAAGAGCCTCGAAGTGTCCTTTGCAGTTCGAATACCTGGGCATCGTTCAGATGGAGCAAGCAGCGGGGTCACCTTGCCCAAATCTCCTTCAACGACTACCTCAAGAACTCCAAGTAGAGATCCTGTCATATCTCGCCTCACCATCGGATCAGCCATCAATTTATGCTCTGCTTCGCACCTGCAAACAGCTCTATAGTGTAGCCCTGCCCTTCCTGCTGCGCACCTTTCGGAACGTACCTCCGCAAAGCACCGGCTTCTGTTCTGAGCGCCGCAATGCACAATTTCTACGCTGCTTTCTGGCTATGAGGCCTGAATTAGCAAGGTTTGTCCATGTTCTGATCGTTGGCTCGTTCTCCATAGATCCCAACATGGGCTACGATGCCCCAGCTATGGATGAGGATATGGATGGGAGAGAAAAACAAGAAAGCCCAATATTCAATGAGTACAGCCCGGAAGAGCTTGTGCTCTACAGACAGTACATCATGAATAGTTTCAACACCAATGATGATGATGACGACAATGAGAAGGACACTGCCGATGACTGGATTAGGGACTTGGAAATGGGTTGCAGTGATGCTCAGTTTGCGCTCATTCTTACCTCTTGTCCAAATATCCACAGCCTCTACTTTGAGACCCCCCACGACCAGCGTCACTTTATGCGTGTTGTACAACTTGCAAAAAAGCCGATCGCCGCCCTCAGGGCTAGCCTCCAGCCTCCCCTATCTCAACTTCATCACATCTACATTGAGGCCCACGAGTCTTTAGGTGACCATGAGGAAACCAACACTGACTACAGCCCTGGCCCCTTCCTCGAGCTGCCTGGACTCCGGTCCTTTGAGGGCGTCAATGTCAGTGGGGGCGACGACGTAGGATGGTGGTTTCAACAACTCCCAGCCAGGTCCTTACCTCTGCAAGACATTGCTCTTCGCCGATCCTACATCTCTCCACGGATGCTCCAAGGCATGCTAGGCGCCTGCAAGGCGGTTAAGCGACTTGAAATCACACGCGGGTTCTATGAAAGCCTGGTGGAGGAGCTGCTGCCGCAGTATATCCTCAGGGCTATCCTACCCCATGCAGATTCTCTCGAGATCCTTCATCTCAACATGGCGGAGGAATGGCCCTGGCCAGGTCTTCCTAGTAAACATAAGCTATTCTATATGGGTACTAAGCTTCATAAGATGATAGCCCTTAAGAGACTTATAACAGGGATGCGTTCTCTTACTAGTTTTTTCAATAGATATACTCCTAATAATAACGACGATGCCAGTGACGCTGTATCACTAGATAGAGCTCCAAGGCTAATAGACTGCCTCCCGGATAATCTAGAGTATCTCGAGATCCATCGATCTAGCGAGTTAATTCTAGATCAGATCCAGCAGCTCATTCTAACCATTCAGGAAGGGCATCGCTTTAAAAGGCTAAACCATATTAAGCTACTTTTAAGCGATATAGATCCCGACAAGATCGAGCTTAATTACGACCCATCGATTATGCATATAGAACTTATATCTCAGTCACTTGAAAATCGCATTTATGATCTCATTCCAGCATTCAACCAAGGGAATCACCGAGTAGAAGCCATCTGCTCTCCAATACACAGCCTAGATCTTCGGGCACAGTGGCTTGATATCCGGGGCAACAACACGGGGTTTGCATCGGTTGATTTTGAGCTATATGAAGCACCGGGAATCAGGTTATCTCAAGAGAAGCCACATCGGCCAAGGCCAGCCGACTATCTGCCAAGGATCTTAGCGACCCAAACCGACGAGTACTGGCGTGAAGTGGATCCCGAGGTCGCCGCTCTGAGAGAGGAATATGCAGCCTTTGTGAACAACCAAAACCAGCCATAGCAGATTCTCAGAAAGCAATGCCTTTGAGGAACGAAAAGGTTCTTTCTTCCGCGCCCTCTTTGGTACTCGCGGGGCAACTAACCGGGCAAATCATTCACCGTACCAACAGGGCCACCACATACGGCGCATAGAATCCGTGTGATGCCTGTCATTCAGCTGCGCTAGGTATACAAACTAAAGAAGGTCTAGGGAAGGATCACGCGTGGTAGGAGCCGGCGAGGACCGGTTTTCGGCCAACTTTTCAGTGTGAATGGAGGAAGGAAGAACTGATGTGATGGTTTTGGGTGCAAATGAATATATTTTGGAGTAGCGTAGTAACACACAGCAGTTTTCGATATGTACTTTGCAGGTCTTGGTGGTGTTTTCTAGGTTCGGCCATGAACCTTATTGTGTTATGAAGACTGTTGCTTAATTATGTGAGCCCTACGGGCGGTAAAATTCAACAAACAAAGGACCGTGGTAGCTGACCATTTCATGATATTAATCCACTATCTTGGCATCTATAGTGACATCCTTGGCTCTGAAACCCGCTTGAGCATCAGACTTAACCTAATATAGAAATGGGGGACGATTGTTTTTCAGGAATGACTACAGCTAAACACTATCCTATAAAACAATCTCACAAAGGCTACTTCCATTCTTGAAACTGATCAAGGATTACGTAATCTGAGCGAGGAGGATCAAATCTGATTTTGGTTGGGTAGCATGTAATTTTCGGGCCAACTAAAACACTGTCAAAATCATCCATCCTGCCGGCTTCTAGCATCTTCAAGGAGTGCATCCGGTAACCCCCCCCTTGTCCATAGGTTCGTACATCCGGCTATCGCTAGTATTAGCTACTAGCAACTATATCTATCTTATCTGCTCTGTCGCTTGCAAGATGCCTGCGGTTGTGCCCGAGCATCTCGAAAAACCAATCCGCCATACCGGCTTTTATCATAGTCACTCTAAATAGTATGTGCACTCCAACTGACCCCCCTTTCCATAGATATCAACTAGGCATTTTCTAATCTTGACTATCCACATCCCAGAATATATCTTGCTTGCTATATTATCTGCAGGATGAATGCAAGCGTGCTCAAGGATCTCTGGGTTGACAACGATGACGGCCCATTCAAGAGCTCTTCGTACACGCTGGTTTTTGGGGGTCATGGTCGGAAATCTGTCAGGGTCGATACCGGCGATCGCGACATTATACTCTGCGTGTCTGTTAACGAGACTCTTACCCGCCTGCTTCACCTCCAAAACGTGCGCGAGGACACAGTTGAGGAGGCCAAGGCTTCCATTACACAGCTCCTTGACGAGTTGAAGTCCCAAGATGAGAGGAATGACGAAAGACATGAGAGACCAGGATATCTAAAAGTAGAACATGTTATCGACGAGAGTCACGAGGCTGTCCGTCAGTTTCTTTTCGCAGAAGCCAAGCAGCGCAGCCTTGGGATTACTTGGGATGAAGGAGGGTATTCACGCTCGACGCTGCGAAGACTCTATTACCAGCTGTGGTTCAAAGTGCGTGTATTGAGCGATGGCAGTTGGTCGACAGACAGTGGGACACGCTTCCAACAAGTGAAGAACCGAGGCGCATCCGAGAATAGTGGAAATGATAGTCGTCATGATGGATAGAAAGCAGTATTTGGCAAGATCAAGGCTATTGAAATCCATTCCGTACACTATCATCCTGTATTCTCTTCATATACTTAAAAGTCCGGATTATGACCTTGCCGGATGGTGTCCAACACTCTAAAACGGGCGAGGTTGCAGATCCCCAGTCCACGGAAGTTCCACGCTTTATCCATGGCGGCCCTGTCTCACGTCCACGGCGGTGCCGCAGGGTGACTTGGTCAGATTTGAAAGCTCCATTCGGAGTCCGAGTTCATGTGAATTGCTTTTGACAGGACTCGGGCTTAATAATCCTCTCGTTTTTATTGAAGCGCTATGCTTCGCATTCCCTTTCCGTTCGTTTATAAAACCAAGAGGGTCAACCCCCCCTTTTCTCATAGATAATATGGCAAACAGTCAGCTACAGTGTTTTGACTGAAGTTTTAAGAACATCGCCAAGGGTAAAACATGGACGGCATCAGCCTGGCTAAACAAGATGGCCCCAAAGGGGCGCCTAGCACTCTTCGGATCTACGGCAATGACGCTTACCAGGCAAAGTTCCGGCGATCTCGAGCCATCGATGCCCCTCGTGCTCGATATACTGGATTCAAGAATGAGACCTTAACTCTTAAATCGGGCACTATTCGTCGTGAGGGTGCGCTCGCTCTCACTTGCGACATTCTCTTCGAGCGCGATGTTGCCGTCGCCCTTCGAGACGGAACCACCATCTACGCCGACATCTTTCGTCCCACAGGGGACAAGAAGGTCCCGGCAATCGTTGCCTGGAGCCCTTATGGCAAGCAGGTTGGCGGTCCAGCCCTTGACGATATTCCCCATCGCTCGGGTGTTCCGCTCTCCGCCACCTCTGGCCTAGAAAAGTTCGAAGGACCGGACCCGGCCTACTGGGTTGCCCAAGGATACGCCATCCTCCATCCCGATTCTCGCGGTGCCTATGCCTCGGAAGGGAACGCCACCTTCTGGGGTCGACAGCTCGCCGAGGATGGATACGATTTCATCGAGTGGGCTGCCAAACAGCCCTGGAGCTCTGGGAAGCTGGCCCTGTCTGGTAACTCATGGCTGGCCATCTCACAGTGGTACATTGCTGCAGAGCGCCCACCTCACCTGACTGCCATTGCCCCCTGGGAAGGGTTTACAGACCCCTTCCGGGACATGGTGAACAGAGGCGGGATCCCCAATCCGGCGTTTACCGAGGCAGTGGTTACGACATGCATGGCGGGTAATACTTTTGTCGAGGACATGCCCCAAATGTCCATAGACCACCAAACAATAAGCGAGTACTGGGAGGATAAAGTTGCTCGTCTCGATCGTATCTCCGTTCCAGCGTACGTCGTCTCGAGCTACTCCAACCCGATTCATACCCGCGGTACATTTACTGGATTTCGATCCATCCGCTCGAAAGACAAATGGCTCAGAATCCATAACACGTTTGAATGGCCCGACTATTACAACCCAGAGCACGTCCAAGACTTGAAGAAGTTCTTTGATTACTATCTGAAAGGGGAGAAGAATGACTGGCAAACAACTCCCCGAGTAAGGCTGTCGATCCTTGATCCCGGACATGCAGATACTGTGAATCGTCCTGTGGAGGAATGGCCGGTTCCTGGGTATCCTGTTGAAAAGTTCTACCTTCATGCAGACAGAACCCTTTCCAATAAACATACGACAACAGGCAGTACCGTCTCATACGAGGCGGAGACGGAGAACAGTCTTATTACTTTCACACATGTCTTCGAAAAGAAGACAGAGGTAGTGGGATACATGAATCTTCATCTGTGGGTTGAAGCCATTGGCTCCGACGATATGGAGCTTCTGGCCTACGCTGAGAAGCGCGACAAGGACGGCAACGTGTTCCCGTTGCCAAGCGCGACTGGAGAAGTCCCCAGTACCGTCTCGGCAGTGGGACTCCTACGTGTCTCGCATAGGGCATTGGATCCCGAGCTTTCAACAGAGCTTGAGCCCTACCTCACACACAAGAAGGAGCAACTACTGTCGCCGGGGCAGATCGTCCGGGTAGAGGTTGGGTTGTGGCCGACGGCGTTACGGTTCCACCCTGGCGAGCAGCTCACGTTGACGGTCCGAGCGGCCCCCAAGACGTCTACCAAGTACGACAAGGGGTTTGGGGTTTCTATAGTCCCCGTTCCAGCTCGCGGCGGAACATTCAAGCCTGACGAGAAGGTCGAGATTGTTGAGCTCGGAGGCGGGATGGATTCGCAGCCTGAGTTTGTCAACGCGCAGCGGGTTGAGACGCCGGCGAGCCGGAACAAGGGGACACACGTATTTCATCTTGGTGGTGAGTATGAAAGTGTCTTGCTTGTGCCTCTGGCTGAAGTTTCGTAATGTCTCTGGAAGTCGATCAATATCATGAAGTGGGATTCTCGTGTGTAAGAATAGAATATCTAGCAAATGCCAAACTACCCTACTCTTCAATTTGTTGACCAATACATTGGAACCTGTGGTCTAATGTTGACCTAAAGGCTACAGTGAGCGTTGGATTTAGGGGCTGTCGCTCGTTGAGAACAATTGTGAGCTTCAATTAGGCTAACTCGAATCTTGGTCGATTGTTGTAGTTTGGAAGGGACAACACCATAATGCACTACATCAGTCGTGCAACAACAGTCATGTGGTTGCTATGAATATCGGAACCTCTGTTTTACAGACCCTTATATATCTCAAGCAATTCTTTCGAAGCATGAACGTGGCGAGGTTCGAGTTGTCGGATCTTGGTAGGGTTAGTGTTCATCATCACTCTAGGTCTCAATGTCAGTTAAGGGCTGTGTTGGAAATGGTCGGGCTGCTTGAGTTGATTTGAAAGAGATTCATGGCGGAGAGTTGTCAGCAGCGATGACTGGAGAAAAGTCAGGGCCGGTATATATGGAAATCGCAGTTTAAACGAGAGCGGTGTATTCGGGATGGGTGATGGAAGAATAGATGTCCTCGATATAAGCTGTTGTATTGCAACCAATAATCTATCGGAAAGTAGACAGAGCCTTGTTTGGGAGAGACCATGGACGGATACATGACTTGGATACACAGCCGGCCGTCTCCTCTTTCTCTGGGCTGGAACATCAAGCTTGTTGGGAATCGAATTCTCCTCGGTTGTATTGTGAGAGCCTATAGGCTTATAATTCTCTATGGTTTGTTGTGTAATCGTGGCCACTCGAAGTGGGAGCATGGAAGTACGCCTGGGATCGAGCATCACAAAGCGAGAAAGAGTCCCAAAGCTTGGTCAACGAAAGGTGATAGGTGGTTTCACCTATACAGTCCGGTACGTGAGCAGTCACAGGCACAAGAGAGGTTTGCCTTGATAAATAGAGTATCATACAAAGCGGAGTAGCTCTTAGTAGATTCGCATGAGCTAGACATGTCCGCCATGTCCTGACCCTTGTTGAGAAGGGTTTGGTTCTGGTGGGCTGATTCGAGTATAGGAGTAGAGTTTCTCCAGTCCGGCCGACCGGTCTGGCCACAGGCAGCTCAGACATGTCCCATCGTGTAATAGGGAAACGGATCATCATCTGGGCATCTCTTCTGGTTCGGTCCGTGGGTCGGTCGGTCGAGGGATCGGTTCGTTGACGCTGGCGGTGCACGGGGCGGCGGCTTTCTGGCACCGAAGGCCTACGGCAAGCCCCCGCAATTCCCGGCCCCAGATTGACGACAATTCGCGGGCGCTAGACTATCGCAGAGACGGCCGACTATCGCGCAAAAGCTGAGGTTGCTTCTGCTGCTGTTTCTGGGGGGAGAAGTGCGAATGTGCGCGTTGAGATGGAAGATGGTTGCTGTCCTGTGCTGTACACCTTGATGGCCAGTTTCGCTTCTGGCCTGAGTCTGGTGCTTGTGAGAACCTTGATGGTTCCGTCTGCGCACCTTGATGGTTTCCAGCGCCCGCGAAACCGCTTCTCATTCGCTGAGCGTCTGTTATCTTCTGGCGCCATCTCCGCCATCGAGGGGCCTCACGTCGCAGCCGGCCTCACATTCATGAGGGCGAGGAGGCGGTTGCGTGCGCTCAAGCCTGCATTATGTATGCTGCGTCTATCTATGTATCTATGTATGTCTGTCTATCTGGCCGTCTGTCAGATGCAAAACGAGCCCGATCCAGCAGTATAAAGGGTCGACGGCTCCCCGCCATCTATCCTCTTCGCTTCCGGACTCTCTGCTCGCCAGTCTGCTCACGCTTCCTCCACCGTCTCATATTTGAATCCTGGACGGTTTTCTTCTTCTTCCTTCGCGCTTAGTCTCTGTTACCCTCACGGTGAGTTTAGATTTGTCTTCGAGCACGTCTCTTGTGCTGAGTCGTTTGAATGCTATTTTCTGGACGCTCTGGCCATCGCATACCCCCTTTTGTCCGCAAATTTCTACTCCTCTCTCTCTGCCTTTATCCCTCACCCTCCACTGGCTCCTCTCTCAACACAACACAGACACACAACCCCCCCTCGTCCTCATTCGGCGCCCCGTGGGACCTCGCTCACCAATGGCAACTCCTCCTACCGTGAGGCTGCTGTTGGCTGATCACCCCCTCTTTTTCGGCTAACGTAGGTTGGAGTTGGGCTCATTTCTCACCAAACAGAACAGCCGCCCCCATTCGTCATCGCTCGTCACCGGTCGGTTCCCCTCAAACTGCCAACGCATAGCTCTGTTCCTTATCTTCATTTCTGTTGGCTGCTTCCGCCTGACCTACCTCATTATCTTATTGCATTATTCCTTCTCGACCAGTCAGTCCCCAGACGGCCAGCCGCCCTGATGCACGCACACACACACACCCACCCACCCGTGCATCACGCTACTGCTAGGACCATCCCTTCCGCCTCAGGGACGGCGAGCCCGACTTCCCACTTCCGATATGCGCGCTTTTCCATCCAACCTGGAGGACTCCAGGCACGGCCCCTTCCTCGGTCGTGCCCGTCCCAGTTTCGCATGAAAAGACTTTCCTGCCTGCCGCCTCCTCCACTCTGTCGCTGCAGAATTCTCTTGTTCCCCAACACGGACTTCCCTATCCCTGCCTTGACCCCGATTTTGTTCTGCTCCATTCGTACATGTCTCGCCAAGTATCAACACAAATGCCTCGTTTCGTTTCTGACGGTTGTCTATCGGCCCATCCCGCTCTGGCATCCCGTCTTTGCCTTTATTGGTTCCATATACATGCTTCACACCTCACACAGTCCCCCATCCAATTCCAACTAGTGTGTCACGGGGATGTGATCTATCGCCTACTTGGGCCCTAGCTCACGCCATCCCACGAGATGAGGTCACAAGGTCATGAGCTGGCAGCATCGCGTTCCGCCTACGAACCCGACTGATCCGCCCTGGGTATCCCTGACCTTACGTAAACTACCGACTTGAAACGGCTTTAGCATGAAGTGCAGAGTTGCCTGGCATCATCACATTGTGGTTCCATTTTGCCGCGAGGGAGTATCAATAATAGCTCGTCAAGTAAAGCACTGTGAAGCCCAGCCCCGTTTCCGATGATTGATAGCTTCTACATCCAGTCCTGGGTTATTCCCAGGGGAAAAACAATCCAAAATATCACTGGTCAAAGAAATACGACCCAAAAGACCCCGGCTGAGCCCTTGACCCATCTTGGCGGGTGCCCGAGAGGTAAGCTTGCTAACACTATCATATTCTTGGCGTATTGACGCGTGCTCTGCCCTACCCTCTACTAGGCAGTGATGTTTCTCCTTCACGCCGAGTAGAGTGCCACACCCAAACTGAAACTCTGCCGAATTAGCACTGCATACATGTTCGACCGATGGCGCTATCTCGTGGGAGTCCAATGACGGAGAACAAGATCGATAAGGACTCGGGCATCCTGTTGATCTGCTTCACTATGCATGACCTCCTGACACGCTGCAACATGATCCATGGCCATCTTCTAGACCTATTGCGGCATGTTCCCAGCCTTCCAGCCAACCATTGCCGGCGAGTCCATAAGTCAGCATGACCACCTCATGGGGAGGAAGAGGGATGGCCCTCACATCCTGGTCCTGCAAGCCGCCGGTGGAGCTGCACCTGCGGCTTTCCCTCTTCGAAGCTCCAGCTAGCTGTTCTATTTAGGTAGTTGGAATGATTGATTCCACGAGGCCCCCACCGTCCAGGCAAGAGGTGGTATCACTGCAACCTCGCTTTTGCTCAATACCTTCGCGTCCAAGCTTCTTGGGTCCAGTTTGCCGTTTCGTATTGTTTGTACACAGTGACTGTTCCCCTTGAGTCGACTCTCCTGAACATATTGATCGCTATTTCGGTACTCATCTCCATAGAAGCAAAACTCCTGTCATACTGTCAACTGATCTTCCCTTTTCCGGGTAACTACGCCGCAGCACCCCGAGGGAACCTTCCCCTCACCCCTCGCGCCCTCTAGCGAACGAGACTTGCATGTGAAGCACACCGGTCCTAATCTCTTGGCCAATTACATCTCCTAACGCGCGGGGGTCCTGTTCCTGGTGGTGGTTCATTGGACGGGCTACCACACCACCAAGAATTTAAGAAATGCAGTACAAGATGGCATACCCGTTCACAGCAGAATCAAGAGCAAGGTATGATGAAGGCTCTACCTACGTGAATATGTACATTCATAGACATGCCGCGCATGCATGCAGCACGACTGTTCGGGCAATCGGCTCGAGGCCCACTCGCAAGGACCAGCCCGAGTCCTAGAGAATGCCCGGGTTCACAGTCTACTGCGACGGAAAGGAGCTAGAGGGTGGGTAGGCGAGGGAAGGGAGGGGCGATCAGGTGGCGTGGTACTCTGAACACCTGATGGGGGTATACAGAGCTGGATCCAGCTCGATGTAGACTTTGAGGACGAGAATCAGAGCTTCGTGTTGGATATAAAAGGCCTCGAGTTCCCTCCTTTCCACTTCCGATTCCTTCCCTCTTCATCCCAGCCAGCTTCAGAACAACTCACTACCAACAACAACAAACGTCCCTCACCAGCTTTACAGCCAACCCAATCTTGACAATGTCTCCCTGGTAAATCTTACCCGCGCCTACCTTCCTGTTGCCGCCACCTTGGTGTATCTCGTCTTCACTCCAAGCCATAACAGCTTGGAATCGAGATCAAGAATCTGCAACACTATCTCACCTGCCACTTTCACGACCAGTCTCGCTGATACTTGTGATCCTGCTAGCAACTGCAACACTTGCGCCTGCTCCGGCAACTGCAACTCCTGCGCTTGCACCACCTGCAACGTGAGTCCCCTCCCAGCAAGCGAAACCACCTTCCTTCCCCCTGGCCCTGTCAACCCCCCCCCCCCCTCACGCTTCAGCAGGACGAATAAACTAACCGGTGAACTTAGCACTAAACATGCCCTTCGCACATGCACCCAACCCGCCCATGGGAGCTTGTC